ACTTCTTTAAAACTAAAGACGCGGTACTCGCAGCGGCAAGAAAAGCACTAACATTGCCGGCGCCATATGACAAAGTCCAACTATATGCAGACCTGTCAGCAATGACCATGAGCAGGAGGCGGGAGTTTATAACAGTCACAAAGACATTAAGGAACAACAGCATTCAATATCGCTGGGGGTACCCAACCAAGATCATCGTCTGGAAAAATGGAAGGACATATACTGCGAACGAACCGGAGGTGGGCATGCGATTACTGAAGGAATGGGGGCTATTTCCAGTGAGGTCTCCGGACGGAGCGACAGTGGAGTCACCGAAACACCCGCAAAGAGAATGGCAGATGGTGGGTTCGCCCTCCCAAATCTGACGACTTACAAGTCCCTCTCAACAAGGACTGTTGTAAGATAAACAATGACTGTTTCGCTTGCCACTTGCAAACGTTTTGAAAAGGTTGTGAGTATATTTTAATGTGCACACATGTATGGGGACATGACACCACAAACTTAACATAATACCTCCGCTAACGGAGAGGTATACACATGAGCCCTAAAGGATAGGCTGACCAAGGGCAGGGGTACAAAGGGTGAAGGTGATCATAACTCCCAGAAATGTTTTATTTTAGCAATCTCAAAAAGATGGATACTAGTCACATATAGATATCTGCCCAATTACAGGGCCCCTTAGACTGGTAACTACACATTTGGGCAGGGGTAATTAAATCCAAGGGACAGGGCGGAAAACCAACCCCGATGGAGGTCGTAAGTGGCATGCTCTCACAACCAGACCATCCCCTAGGTTTGCGCGCAGAGACGGGACAAAACACCCGACTTGCGCCTAAACCAGGAAGAGCGCTGAAGAAATTACTGGCGCTATGTATATACTTGAGTTTGTTACAGACACGTGTTTTTGTTATCCTCGTTTTACCCCGATCCTTCCCCCCCTGGACAACACCAACACCATTTGCTATACATCCTTACCCGTACACGCATGAACTGCACAAGCAGCCTCACAAAAGAATGTATGGCTGACGAACTGAAAATCCTAACATTAAATGTGAAAGGCCTCAACAGCCCCCATAAACGCAGAATGGCAGCATTGGAAATGGGTAAATCTAAAGCAGCAATAGTGTGCCTGCAGGAGACGCACTTCTGCATCCGCAATACCCCTAGATTTAGCGTCAAACAATACGCCCAAAGCTATCACACCCTATCACCGACTAAATCCAGAGGGGTAGCCGTGTACTTCCATAGGGACTGGGTATTTTCACTCTCCAAACAATATGCTAGACAGGATGGGAGGCTGCTGGTTCTGGTGGGTTCCCTGAACGGACTACAAATAACGATAGCCTCACTATATGCCCCGAATGAAGCGCAGAAACACTTCCTAAACAGGGCGTTCCGCACAATTGCACAATACAAACAAGGACACACCATCATATGCGGGGACTTTAATTGCTCCCCCGACCCATCCCTAGATATCAGCAGAGTGAATAATGAACCACCAAAGCCAGCCTCTTTGGCTTTAGGCCAGCACCTCAGTACCCTTATGCATGAGCACGATTACTATGACACGTGGAGGAATCTATATCCACGTGAGAAGGACTTCACGTTTTACTCGCCCGTCCATATGACCTACACTAGAATAGACTTATGCCTCCTAGACACAAGAACACTACCATTTGCACTGAGAGTACACATAGGTCCAATCACGTGGTCCGACCACGCTCCACAAATCATAACTATAAAAATTCCGTACCCAGCTAGGGGACGAGGCACCTGGCGCCTCAACGAAAGCCTTCTGGACACACCAGGGAATCTCCTTCAAATACAGGTCAAAACACAGGAATACTTTGAGACCCATGCGACTTGCCAGACAACAATTCTCACTAAATGGTTAGCCCATCCGGCAGTCATAAGGGGGAGCTTTATCCAGATGGGGGTGAGAGTAAAGAAGCAGCACAATGCTGAAAGAACATGCCTTGAACAAGAAATAATCACACACGAAAAGGCACACAAACGCAAACCCACTAAACGCACGCACGACACATTGACAAAGCTCAGATCAAAACTAAGCTCTCTCCACTTAATGGAAACTGAAAAAAGGATGCGGTTCCTCAAACAAACATATTATACCATGGGTAACAAGGCGGGAAGACTTCTAGCACAACAAGTTCGCCAAACAAAATTGCAGTCGAAAATACCCTATATCACCTCAGAGCGAGGAGTAAAACTATATAACCCCCAGGACATAGTCAACGAGTTAGCACGGTATTACTCGTCCCTTTACCAGTTAGACAGGGACCACGGCACTCACCAACCGACTAAAATGGGAATTGCACGATTTCTAGAACAGGTAGATATACCGTGCCTATCCCAAGAGCAATGCTCCTCTCTGGAAGAACTCTTCTCAGAGCAGGAAATTGAAGAGGCCATCAAGTCCCTACCTAAGCACAAAGCCCCTGGTCCGGACGGCTTATCAAATTATTACTATATAAAATTGTCGTCGTATTTGATCGCCCCTCTCACCACACTCTATAATGCAATAAAAGAGTCAGGAGAGATGCCCAAAGAAATGTTAGAAGCTTTCATTGTGACACTGCCCAAACCAAACAAACCCCCCACTATCTGTGCTAATTTACGCCCGATTTCCCTGCTAAACGCAGACACCAAACTCTACACTAAACTGATAGCAACGAGACTCAAAAAAATACTCCCAGATCTCATCTCTGAAGAACAGGCAGGGTTCGTTCCAGGGAGACAAGTGGGGGACAACACCAGGCACTTTTTGAATCTAATAGACTGGGCAAATTTATCGTCCCAGACCGGCCTGATCTTGGCACTAGACGCCGAAAAGGCCTTTGATCGCCTACACTGGGAATATATGACACAGACGCTACTTAGAATGGGATTTTCCTCGAAAGTCCTATCGAGCATTCTTGCACTATACCAAAATCCAACGGCCAGAGTGTTTAGCACGGGTTTTATATCTGATCAAATAGAGATAAGGAATGGTACCCGACAGGGATGCCCCCTCTCGCCCCTCATTTTTATACTGAGCCTAGAACCTCTAATTCGGCTAATAAATCGTGACCCAGTAGTACAAGGACTCCACACTCCAGGTGGTGATAAAAAACTGGCATTTTTCGCGGACGAAGTTTTAGTATTTCTAACGCGCCCAGAATCCTCACTACCACAACTCATACACAGGCTCGACACATATGGACGGGTATCTTACTATAGGAACAACACAACGAAGACACAAGCATTGCCTATAAATTTATCGAGCACTATCGTCACGACGCTACAAGCACAACACACCTTTGACTGGCGCAAAACCTCTCTAAAATACTTGGGGATCAATCTCACAAAGTCCACTCAGACCACCATACGGGAAAACCATTATCCGGTCATACAAAAACTAAGAACCACACTAGAGAAATGGGAGGGACTCGAGGTGTCCTGGTTAGGCCGCATCAACCTTATTAAAATGATGGCGCTGCCGCACATACTGTACCTGTTTAGAACCTTGCCCATCGCCCTCCCCACCAAACTTTTAAAACTCTTCCAAAGCACAATAAACGCACATGTATGGAAACGGAAGCCCCCGAGAGTGGCAAGGGGAGTGCTGGGGCTCCCAGGCACCAGTGGGGGGCTGGGCATGCCTGATATCAAGGTTTACTATAAGGCAACCGTTTTACGCTCCGTGACCACCACCCGTAAGCCCATTTGGCTAGAAATGGAAAGCGCCTGCCTGGCCACCCGTGACCTGTCTCAGAACTTATGGGCAGGGGGACACCCCCAGTTTGTGGGGGGGAAACAACTGCAGAGTTCACGGTTTCTTTTAAGGGCATGGAATAACTGGAGCTCTTGCATAGTGAACCCCAAAGAGCTCTTTTTAGAAACACCATTGGAAACACTAGAAATACTATCCCCAGACATGTCGATGGGCGATGGAAAGGAAGGGGCGAATCCCGGGTCCAAGACATACTAGAAGGGGACAAAATTAAGCAATTCCCCATCCTGCAAAGGGAATTACAGCTACAAGCGAGGGATATCTTTCAATACCTTCGAATAAAAAATATAGTGCACTCGCATATCCAACTCTGCACCACCCACTCTTCCAAACCCCACATAACGCTTAAACAGGCACTCTTCCACAAGCAAATCAAACTGCTTTCAGCATGCTACAACGCACTAATCACTTCGGCGGCCTCCGATAAACCTACATACATGAATCTGTGGGAGGAGGACAGAGTGCTTAACGGCTCTGGAAACCACGAAAAAAGCATCGCAAAGCCTCACACTCTGGGAAGCGTATTGCAAGGTGCTAATGAGGTGGTACTTGGTGCCACACAGACTGGCACGCATGTACCCGGGCACGTCCGGGAAGTGTTGGAGATGCAACATAGAAGAGGGAACCATGTTCCATATTTTCTGGACGTGCCCTCTACTGACTGATTACTGGGAGAAGGTCCATCTGCTCCTACTAGGCAGGACGGGTATCACTCTCCCTAAGAAGCCGGAAGACTACATACTTCACATAGCACCCGGTGTGGCCACTCACCCTCATAGGAAAGTAGCGCTAAACATTCTAACGGTAGCAAAAATTGTGCTGGCCGGCAACTGGAAGAGCAACAAAATCCCAGCAGTAGAGGCTATAACACAAAAAAATGGATACGATTAGCGCATATGAAAAAATGGCCAATAGAGTAAACGGTAGCAGTGTGAGATACGACAGGGAATGGAGTTGCTGGCCAGCGGGATTTTAAGTAGTAGAACAGGAGCCGCAGTATGGCGACGCCTACACTGACATGGAGCAAAGATCAGATGGGAGCAGTGACAAGTTTACAAATGGTTGTACAGGATTTAATCACCATATGTATAAAGTGTTGTCTAGGGCACCCCCTCCCCTTCTTCCTTTCTGTATCCCCCCCATCCAAGTTCTTGTTATAAAAATAAATGAAACAGGGATAGCTTGTCAGACATGCATTACAGGCAGCAATTCCACCCGCACCGAACCAACACAAAAGGACACTAGGCACAACACATAACACAGTGCCCTCGAGCAGAGAGATCCAAAGCGAGCGTACCTACCTGGGAAGCAACATTGGCTTCAAACCTATATACAGAAGATGTTGGTATATAACATGTGGGGAAACGGAATCCACAGCTGCGACTGTGTTGGGTCTGCATGCCAGAGTGCACTGCGATGCACAAAGTCTGAAATTTTGCTTGCACCAATAAAAAGATAAATGAGAAACAAAAAAAAAAAAAGAGAATCACCTGATAAGCCATTACATCCTTGTGGCTTCTTTTCCAAACAGATGTCCAAAGCCGAAAAGAATTATGACATAGGCAATCGAGAACTCCTTGCTATTGTTTTAGCACTCAAGGAGTTGAGACATCTTTTAGAAGGTACTAAGGACCCCATCCTCATTTTTACGGATCACAAAAACCTTTCCTACCTTAGTGAAGCCAAAATATTGTCTTCTAGGCAGGCCAGGTGGTCACTGTTCTTATCTCATTTCAATTATATCATCACCTACAGACCAGGTGATCGTAACACTAAAGCTGACGCTCTGTCTAGACAATTCGAAACTACAGACAAACAAGAGTTTGATAATACCCCTGTCATTCCCCCGGACAGAATAATAGCTACTACGGTTCTATCTATTTCTTCTTCACTCTTACAAGTTATACAGGCTAAACAAAACATGGCACCCAGTGAGAAACCTACTGATAAACTGTTTGTTGATGTTCCCGAAAGACGGGACATTATGTCGTTATATCATGACGCCAAAACTGCTGGATATCCTGGTGTTACTAAAACCTTAACAGCAGTTTCTAGATATTTTTGGTGGGCTTCCTTACGCAAGGATATCACGATTACGTTCGGGCATGTACTTGTATGAAGTCTTCTCATAGAGTTCCTTATGGGTTGTTGCACCCGTTGCCCATACCCGAGAGGCCTTGGTCCAATCTATCCATGGATTTAATTTTTGAATTGCCTCCTTCGAATGGCAAAACAGTCATCCTGATGATAGTGGATCGATTTTCTAAGATGGCTCATTTTGTGTCTCTTGTCAAATTGCCCTCATTCAAGGAACCTGCTTCTATCTTCACCAGGGAGGTGTTTAGTTTGCATGGCATTCCTGTATCAATTGTATCCGATAGGGGTAGCCAATTTATTCCCAGATTCTGGAGAGCTTTTTGTTCAGAGATGGGTATTTATCTCTCGTTTTCCTCCGCTTACCACCCCAAGTCTAATGGAGCTGCTAAACGTGCCAACCAGTCCCTAGAGCAGTATCTTCGTTGTTTCGTATCCCACCATCAGAACAATTGGGCTGACATGCTTCCTTGGGCTGAATTTGCTCCTAATAACGCTGCTCATGAATCTTCCAGTAAAAGCCCTTTTTACATTGTTTATGGCCGGCATCCTGTTGTTCTACCAGCTGCATTCTCCTTACAGGGCATGCCAGCTCTGGATGAACATTTGGCTGGTTTACGTACTACTTGGGAGCAGGTTCAGCATTCTTTGGTGGACTCCGCTGCTCGCCAAAAGGTTCAAGCTGACAAACATCGCAGGGCCGCTCCGTCCTATTTCGGGGGGTACAGGGTTTGGCTTTCCACTCGCAATATCCGCCTTCGTGTGCCTTCTATGAAGTTGGCCCCCCGTTTTATAGGTCCTTTCCGTATTTTGCATAGAGTTAATCCTGTTTCATATGCCTTGGATCTTCCTAAGAACCTGCGTATTCCTAACGTCTTTCACACCTCCTTGTTGAAGCCCCTCCTGTGTAACCGCTATACTCAGCATGTTCCCTACTCCTCCTCCTGTTTCTGTGGAGGGTCATGAGGAATTCGAAGTAGATGCTGTACTTGACTCTCGTTTTCTCAGGGGTCGACTCCAGTACCTGTTGCATTGGAAGGGTTATGGGCCTGAAGAACGCAGTTGGCTTTCCACTGACGCTGTTCATGCTCCTCGCCTTGTGCGTTACTTCCATTCTCGTTTTCCTGCCTGGCCTGGTCCTCCCCTTCAGGGGTACTTACCTTACCCGGGGGCCGGCCGAGGTCCTCTCTTCAGGGGGGTTACTGTAGCGGTACTTACCTTACCCGGGGGCCGGCCAAGGTCCTCTCTTCCCGCCGCACACAGCTCTCGAATGAAAGCGGGCATGGACCGTGAGATGCGGTCACGTGTCCCGCCTAGCTCTAAGAGCGTGCCGCACATCTCGGGCACGCTCTTAAAGGGGCAGTGGGAGCCAAAAAATGCCCAGACACTCACATTTTGGGGGCGTGGATATGACAGGCGCCAATCAAAGTAAAGTTTAGGGTATTTATACTTACCTCTCCCTTAACTCCCTGCCCTAACGTGGTTTCTGTTTCAGTTCCCTTTAGCGCTTGTTGTGTTCAGTTGTGATTTTCGTGCTTGACCTTGGCTTTGTATCTGACTCCGTTTATCTCTCTATCCCTGTTTTGTCTTGTTTGCCGGCTTACTGACTACTGTGTACCAGACCTTGGCTAGTTTTTGTTCTCACAGTCTATTTGTTCCCTTGACATCGGCTTGTTCTTGACTCTGTCTATTCTCTGCTATACGGCGTGTCCGGCAAGTCGTATCTGCTCTATCTGTCGATAGTTGGACTAAATCTTGCGTGTAGGGGTAAACTACCGTGACACTGTGATTGTGTTGTGTGTATGTGTGACTGCCTGTGATTGTGTGTGTGACTGTCTGTGTGTGACTGACTGCCTGTGATTGTCAGTGTGTGAGTGACTGTCTGTGACTGTGTGTGTGTTTAGTAGATAGCTCCCTTATTTCCTGTCCTTAAATATTGCAATCCCACATAAGGATAACAAATACAGGATTTATCTACTAAACAACTGAAAATAAGAAAAGGGAGTTTTTTTTAATCCTTTAGCTGTTTAGTACATCATTCCCTGAATTGGTGCCCGTATGTGAGATTTCCATATTTAAAGATACCAAATGAGGGTGCTGTTTAGCAGATAGCACCTTATTTGGTGTCCTTAAATATGGCAATCCCACAAAGGATAGCAAATAGAGGAGTTATCTGCTAAACAAAGATTGAAATTAAAGGGACACTCCAGGCACCCAGACCACTTCTGCCCCTTGGAGTGGTCTGTGTGCCAACTCCCACTACTCTTAACCCTGCAGGTGTAATTATTGCAGATTTTTATAAACCTTTCCTATTGGGCGCGATCAGTCTCGCCCACCGGCCGACGCAATCAGAGGGAGGAGCGGCGCGGAGAAAAAAGCAGCGACGTGGGACATCGTCGCTGCCTCAGGTAAGTTACTGACAGGGTTTTCACCCCTTCAGCAACCGGGGATTGGGGGGTGGGAGGGAGAGGGGATCTGCAGTGCCAGGAAAACAGAGTGTTTTCCTGGCACTGGAGTTTCCCTTTAAGAGTTGTCAGCCAGCCCACAACAAGAAATCTGGGTGGCTAATGTGAATTATATGCAAATGTGTAGTCAGATGCCAGCATGCAGAACACAGCATACTGTCATCAGACAGCCAATTGCAACATATTACCCATCCCCTAGTGAGAGGTTTCACTGCTCCCTCTCCACCTCCTGTTTAGACTGTGGTATCTTATGTGCCCCCTCCATATATATTGTTCCTAGAGTCGCCACGATGTCTGCATGTGTGTCAATGTGTATCTGTGTGTGACTGTGTTTGTGTGTATATGTATCTGCATGTGTGTATGTCCATGTATGTGTATATGTGCAGACATCTAAAAATCTCGCCAACACTACACACAAACATTTTTCAAAGATTTTTGACAATACTGGGAGCAATGATATTGGGCGATAGTTAGAAACCAAAGTAATGTCACCACTTTTATGGATAGGCACCACAGTCGCAGTCTTCCAAAGTTTGGGTATGTATCCAGACACCAAGGATTCGTTAATTAGGGTTGCAACGGGTTCAGCAATTGCCGGCGCACTGAGCTTCTACAGCATTGCTGGGATTTGATAAAGTCCAGACTGGTTTTCCATTTTTAGATTATTAAGGTGTTTAACGACACTAATAGGTACAGGTTTAAAAATGAACTTGTCTATATTGGGCCTTTGCAAATTTGGTGGGGCCTGATCCACAGTTGTAGTTTCAGGATGCATGTCATTTATTAGCTTGGCAATCAGAGCAGTGTAGCATCCGACAAAATAATTGTTAAAGGCTACATCTAAGGGAAGTTAAAGGGTTTGGTTATCCACTTTGACAGTGGAGGGTTGGGAGTGGATTGGGGGAGTTTGTAATATATTTATGGCTTTCCAAAGGTTTCTAGGGTTTGATAGGTTATTGTTCAGATTTTCACAGAAATATTGGGCCTTAGTCAATTTTGTTTGTTTTGTGCATATATTTTGTCATTGTCTATATGCACAGTGATCATTCATAGAGCCAGTACGCTTGAACTTTGACCACAATGAATCCCGAAACTGGTACATTTGGATGAGGTCAGCTGTGATCCAGTTCATATGTGCTCCTTTTACTATCACCTTACGCAGCGGGGCATGCAAATTCTAAATTTGTAGGAGTTCAGACTGAAAGAATTTAACAGCAGTCTAGATCTGGGATAATGTTTAATCCGTGCCATGGGAGGTTCTTGATGTCATTAAGAAAGGATACAAGATTACATTTTTTGAAGGACCTTGTGGTTTTGACCTTGGGAGAGGATTTAGTAGACTTTATTTTGCGCCTGCAGTACACTAAACAGTGATCACTGAAACTGTTTGGGAGAACACCGGCCTCCTGGATTTTATCAGGAGAAGTGGAGAGAATCCAATCGAGCAGGGTATGGTTATGGCTTTTAATGTTTATGTGAGTTGGGAGGAGATTAATTGCGTTAGCTGCAAAGTCTTAAACAGTGTGCAAGAACTATTATTTTTAGGATTCATCCGATCAATATTAAAATCTCCAAAGACCAACAGTTCACTTTTTGGGTTTTGAGCTATGGTTTCACTAAGGAGATGGGCTATGTCAGATAGGGAGCTAGGTGGGCGGTAGATTTCTGCAACAATGATTGATTTACTGTGCCATGAAGGAAATCAAAGGTGGCAGAAGGGCTAAAGTTTTGTAAGTGGGTAAACTTTATGGAATTGTCAACATATATAACAATGTCTCCTCCTCTCTTTGCTCTGTCATTTCTAAAACATAAATAACCCTGTATTGCAATGGCGGTGTCTGGTATTTTAGTCGTTAACCATGATTCTGAGAGCACAATGATTTTTCGTTTGTAATGGGAACACCAAGGGTTGCAGTGCATCCAGTTTAGGGATGTTGCAGTGCACAAAGGAAAGGCCTTTTTTAGTGGGGAGATTAGGTCAAGAATTAGCTGGGGGACCAGGGTTAGACTCCATATCATTTGCAAGGGCAAATAACACAAGGAATAGGAATTTGGACATCATTTTTGTTTGGCCATATAGTGAATGGGATACTTTATAATTTAGTGAAGTGGGGGTAGGAGGGCTATTTTTTATAACTCTCCACCAGCACTCAGCACATAAGTTACAGGAACAGAGCATGCCATGGTGTATGATAATTTGTGATCCGTTTTGAGGTGTGTGCTTATGCTGGTAGTGATGTGAACAAAATTGGAATAAGAAAAGGGTTATTAAGAATAACAATATGGTTATATTTGGATTCTTGTTAGTGGTATGAGGTGTGTAGTTGAAAATGAAACAGAAATTGTGAAAAACAAAAATGAAAGTATATAATATATAGAAGCCGTGAATGCAAAATGCGTCATCACGCTCGACCACGTACGATTGCACATTGGGAAGCCTGCAGATTGGTAACTCTGCCCCCCGGAAGTATTTGATTGCGGCGTCTTGGCTGCTCACGGTGGAAGAAGCCGGCCTTTTCACTGTGAAGTATTTGAACTGACACAATCTATATATGACGGGGGATTTTGGAGAGAGATGCTATTAAAACCTGTGCAATAAATCTAAGAAGTGGATTTTTTTGTCTCTGCCATTTTTATCCCAGGAGGGATTGTTATTGGGAGCTGTCATAGTTAGAGCAGACTTTTCTACTCTACTCTTGTGAGTGTACACTTTTATATATTTCACCTTTACTTTCTGTGTTATAGATTTACACTATTATTGTTTTTTCCCCTCATTTTTATGTTACATGGAGAGGATCTACATATGCATTTATAAGTTAGTGCTTTGTGTAAGAAATCCAGAAAGCCAGAAATTGTTTAACCAAATCACCCTTCAGCACATAGAGCTTTGGTTGCCAGGTGGGAATATATATTATATGCAGTAAAAATATATAAATAAATAGGGTTATTTCCTACAGAAGTAATAGTGACAAATTCTAGGAGAAAACAGTCATAAGGAAAGATTCTACAGATCGGCTTTTTTTGAGCTGGGATTTTTAGTTTGGTAAATAACTTTAAATCACTTCCTGTGTGTATGTATATAAAGGAAGTTTTTATTCACCAAATCCTCAATTGAAACACAAACTTCAAAATTCAGACAAATTAAAGGGGCACTATAGTCACCAGAACAACTGCAGCTTAATGTAGTGGGGTTCTGGTGTCTATAACCTGTCCATGCAGGCTTTTTAGTGTATATGGTGCCTTTTCAGAGAGAATGTATTCAGGTCTATGAAGGATCCAGCGAGATCCTCCATGACAAGGCTTGAAGGCAGTAGTTCCACCTAGTGTCAAGCTGTCAGATGGAAGAAAAATACTGAGACAAAGTAGTTCCTGCTTTGACTGGGTTAGAATTTCAGTGAAATTCCAACACTGTCAATCTAACTATTTCATAAAGATTCCATATTAATTAAATATTAAGTTTGGAGAGGGAAGAGTGGAGTGGTGCCGCTTAAAACATGCCAGAACATTTAAAATATATATTTTATTAAATTCCACTTCATGGTCCAGTATTGATTTTATAACTATGCACTGTAACTATATCAACTCTCACAACAATAAAACAAAAGATCAGACACATTAATGCTGTTCCATTTAATAAATACAGCTGTAGATACAAGATGTCACATTTTAATTTCTGCACATATGGAAATAAAAAGGTTTAAGAACATAAACATGACAACCCAGAATAAGAGGGAATGATCAAAACAAAATCTGTAATACTTAATACAAAAAAAAAAAATAGAACAGGACATTAATACATTAAATAGCAACTAACTCTTGGTTTGCATTGTGTATGAATGCAGGACCTATTGCAGGAAACCTGCACTCGTGTTATGCCCACCAAGCATTACATGACCTAACAAATAATCTCTGGAGTGTTCTTCAAGTCCTTACATAGTCATATGCTCAGGCAGAACATAGGAGATATCATCCCAAGGATGCCGGTATAATCCTTGCTTCAACCTCTTTTGGTCCAAATAATGCCCTGAAAAGGCAGAAAATAAATTAAAGTGGGAACCTTAAAAAACTGCATAGAAGAAAAAAAAAAAATGATTTTTTTTTTTTTTTTTTTTAGAAATAAACAGAGGTAATGCTAACTTTGTAGGTGTATTATACATTCTTCAAAACTAAGGTTGTAGAAGAAAGGGAGCAAAACAAAGAACATTAAAAAAGTATAACAGTGGATATTTTACAGTTTCTGAAACACTTGTTCATTATTGCTTTAATTAGTGGTAATTGGCCAAAAATATGAGGGACTTACCAATAAAACCCATACTTCTTCCCAATACAAAGACACCATTGAGAGCCCCAATATCAATGTATTCATCAGCCTCTTCTCTGAAATTGAAAAATATTTAATGAACTTAACTGTTGCGTAATAATGCAATAAAATAATAAAGAACATAATAAAATAATTCCCCCCAAAACAAAAAAGCAAACCTCATTCATATCCAGTGGTAATAATTATATCAGTAGCCATGACTCTCAAACAATACCTGGACATATTCACAGTCTAGTAGTTAAAGGCAATCATTAGAATATCAAGCTTTATGAAAAAGTTCAACAGGGCTGCGGAAAAACACTATACAACCATACAGACTCAAAGGATGGTTTTTGAATCATCTTCCTTAATTGCCAGTGCATTGATGTTTTACATTTAAACTTAAAGGACCACTCTAGGCACCCAGACCACTTCAGCTTAATGAAGTGGTCTGGGTGCCTGGTCCAGCTAGGGTTAACCCATTTTTTCATAAACATAGCAGTTTCAGAGAAACTGCTATGTTTATGAATGGGTTAAGCCTTCCCCCTAATCCTCTAGTGGCTGTCTCATTGACAGCCACTAGAGGCGCTTGCGTGCTTCTCACTGTGATTTTCACAGTGAGACGCAAGCGTCCATAGGAAAGCATTATGAATGCTTTCCTATGCGACGGGCTGAATGCGCGCGCAGCTCTTGCCGCGCGTGCGCATTCAGCCCAGGAGGAGGAACGGAGGAGGATCGGAGGAGGAGAGCTCCCCGCCCAGCGCTGGAAAAAGGTAAGTTTAACCCCTTTTCCCCTTTCCAGAGCCGGGCGGGAGGGGGTCCCTGAGGGTGGGGGTCCTTTAACTGGCTAAGTTGCCAACAGAAAAATTAAGGACATGCATCACCAAACATAAATGTGACACACCCACAGAGATCTTGTTATTTTAGGGAAAAAACTGTCCACCCAACATTAGAACTGATATTTCCCCTGCTCTTTTAACTTATTCTCTACAAGAAAGCTAAAAAATATGTTACATAGTTGTCTAGGTTGAAAAAGGCTAAAGCCCATTGTTTTATGTGGTTGTTCCAAAAGAAGGCAAAAAGGGCATTGTAGCATTTCCAATTATGACACAAAAAGGAAGAAACTAATTCCTTCTTGACTCCATAATGACACTCAGATTTCTCCTTGGATCAACAACCTGTTTACATATATATCAATTCTATGTTTATGAAAAAAGCATGCAAGCTTTCATAAAAAAAAAAAAAAAAAAAATCTATAGAATCTAATAAGACAACCTCTTTGGGCAGAGAATTCCACATCTTTATTGTTCTTACTATAAAGAATCCTCTGCTGTAAGCAAAGACACCATTCTTCCAGTCTCAATGGGGACCTCTTGTTTGTTGTATGTTCCTGCTAATGAACAGGTTAGCATATAGCGGCTTTTACCGACCCTGTATATATTTGAATAGTCCCGGCCTGTGAAGCTCCTTTTTTCTAAAGTAAACTATTCCAATTATTCTAGCCTTTCCCCTTAACGGTTTTCCATCCCCCTTAATAGTTTTGTAGTTCGCATTTATTCTTCTTTATAACTGATGCCCACAAATGCACAACATATTTAAAGGTGGGGTCTTACCATTGGTTTGTAAAGAGGCAAACTGATATTTGGATTATGTGAATAATTACCCCTTTTTACACACAAAAGCCATACACATTGCAAAATCTTATTAGCTTTTGCAATGGCAGACCGACGTTGCCTACTTTGTGATCTATAATTATTCCAAAGTCCTTTTCATTTAATGTTATCCCTAACTCAACCCCACTTAAAGGACCACTCTAGGCACCCAGACCACTTCAGCTTAATGAGGTGGTCTGGGTGCCTGGTCCAGCTAGGGTTAACCCATTTTTTCATAAACATAGCAGTTTCGGAGAAACTGCTATGTTTATGAATGGGTTAAGCCTTCCCCTATTTCCTCTAGTGGCTGTCTCATTGACAGCCGCTAGAGGCGCTTGTGTGATTCTCACTGTGAAAATCACAGTGAGAGCACGCAAGCGTCCATAGGAAAGCATTACGAATGCTTTCCTATGTGAGCGGCTGAATGCGCGCGCAGCTCTTGCCGCGCGTGCGCATTCAGCCAACGGGGAGGAGAAGAGGAGGATCGGAGGAGGAGAGCTCTCCGCCCAGCGCTGGAAAAAAGGTAAGTTTTAACCCTTTTCCCCCTTCCAGAGCCGGGCGGGAGGGGGACCCTGAGGGTGGGGGCACCCTTAGGGCACTATAGTGCCAGGAAAACGAGTATGTTTTCCTGGCACTATTGTGGTCCTTTAATGTATAAATGGTTTGTTGGGTCCTTATTCCAAAATGCATGACTTTGCATTTATCTGTATGAAATCTCATCTGCCACTCGCCTGCCCAATCCCCACCAATTTATCCAAATGCCTCTGTAGAGAAATGATGTTCAGACTGTATTTCCATAACCAAGTTTTGTGCCAACTGCAAACACAAACAAATGCCTTTCAATGGCCACTTCAATTCATTTATGAACAGATCAAAGAGAATTGGACCCAGGACAGAAGCCAGATGCACTCCACTTACCACTTGTGTCCAATTCGAAATATTCCACTTACAACTACTCTCTGCACTCTAAGAATACAATTTTAAACCAACTGACTTCAGTTTTACTAGTAAGCTTTTGTGTGGATCTATATCAAATGTTTTAGCAAAACCAAAGTAGATCATATCTACTGGATCACCCTGATGTTCAGTACTTTATATCATTAACATAATTATCTTACCGTGTAAAAGAACCACAGTTCCTTAGAAGGTCTACAAATGCAACTCCAATTAGACCATCAACATTGAGAATAAGATTGGGTTTCTGTAGGAAGAAATACAACTGTTTGAGTAACGGAAAAAATATATAAATGTAAAGGTCTACTGTATCTCACATACACATATTAAAATCTCTGTTTAATGTGTTAAAAGACACAAATCATTTAAAGGAACACACCAAACACTAATTATATTGGTTATGGTGCTAGAAGTACTCTGGCTCCCCCCCAATGCAAGTAGTCAAATAGTTTGACTACCTACTTGGTGTAAACTGGGCACCAGTCACTTCTTCCACTGAGGCCCAAAAACACTCTGAGCTAGCCTGGCTGTGCAGGTCTAAGCTCATTGGCTAAAAGCACTCCACTTATGTCCTGACAAAAGTATCTGGCTTTGGTGCAATTTAGGTAATAACTTTCATTCCATTCCGGAAACCTGTTCAATTACAGAAGGCGTACCTTTGAAGTAGTGATTTTTTCCACTTCTAGAGCATAGTCCAGCAATGGTGTGGCAGGGAAGTTCTGTTTTACATAGTCTTTTAGAATCTGTACTCTCATATCTGGATTATTAATCTGAAAAAATGAAAATGGTAGTTGTGTGTGAATGAGATACAGGAGCTCTAGAAGAAAATATTTATGTTTTAAAATAGTTCATTATAAAAAGTTAGTTGAAACACTAAGTGGAGTACCAAAAAAATCAAAAACACAACAGTTTGGGACATAAAGAATACATTTATTCATAAAATATTTTACCAGGATGGATACATTGAGAGTTCTCTCGTTTTCAAGTATGTCCCGGGTCTTTGTTCACATAACTAACATTGCATTGTTACAATAGGATACAATATTACAAAAATACAATTATATATATAACATAACAGGTAATATATTCAACCAGAACAGGTGCATCTGCACTGAGGTAGAATGCCATAGATGTCTTAAAAGATTTTTGACTGAATTAAGATTTGATTGTGTCCCTGAGGTTATTCCATAATTGCGGTTCTCTGCAGGAAAAGAAGGATCAAGCCACTTTATTTTTGTATTGCGGTATGCTAAATATGACACTAGTACTGGAGCGGATGTTATAGGAGGTGGGAACAGCCAGGGAGAGCATTCTACTCAGGTAGAGTGGGAGCTTCCCAGAAATGCTCTTATGCACAAGACTGGAAAGATGAAGAGCACAAACTTTTATTGTATATGCAGTATGAGGTCTACACAGTAAGCAACACTTACAGACTTTACTCTGTGACCGATTCCCATGATAAGTTTCCCCTCCTTTTTCATTTTGTTCACAAACTCCATGGGTATGAGGCCACTATCAAAGGCTTTGCTGAACATCTTGGCTGCTGCGTCAAGAGCACCACCAAAGCGGTCCCCCTGTAAAATCAATATAAAGGTTATAAAAAAGTCACCAGCACATTGCAATAAGGATTTTTAAATATCACACAATGAACTTACAATGGTGAGCAGTCCAGAAGTCAGGCTCGATATAAGATCTTTGCCAGCTCGGGCACAAACAATTGTGTTATGGGCTCCAGACACAGCCGGGCCATGGTCAGCTGTCACCATTAGGCACATTTCAATGAAATGAGAAGCATATTTGGGAACACTGGAAAAGAAAAAGAATTTTCCTTTTTTTTTTTATCAAGACATGACAAGTAAATAAACATTGACATACTTCAAACATTTTCCTTACCGTCGCTGGAACCATAGGAGACCCAATACACCACCAATTCCAATATCCTCCTTAAAAACATCAGTAATTGGCATTCCTGCATATATAAGTTCCTGACCCCTTTCATCACAGATGCTGGTCATAAAAGATGCTGGCTTCCTGATCAGGCCCAGTTCCTGCACATAAATACATGAAGAGTAATTAGAGAATGCAGACTGCATAAAAAAAAATATATATATATATATACACACACACACACTGAAAATAAAATAAAAAAGAAAGTATATATATTTATGAAAAGCAGAGTCCGTCACTGCTGGAGTGCATATTCCGGCCTAAAAGTACACAGGCCGTCCTTTCCTCTGGGCTGAGATTGTCTGGTTCTGCCCATGTAACAAGCCATTTAAATTGGTGGGCCCTCTTTTTACATGCCTAACTGATTGTCGATTTTGGCACATCACAGCCGACTTGTGCTCCACTAACATAACTCTGCTTACTACCCCCGACTACAAATATTTCTTTATTTGTGATTGGAACAAATGCTGAATTTATGCGCTATAGTGTAAGTCAGCTGAAAGTGTGCAGAAACAGGTGTTTAAGTAGGCCTGTAAAATAGTTGCCCAAAGAGGAACAAATTGGATGCAAAAACAAGTTTGTTAAAAAACAACATGCCGATTGAGGAATCCCCCACCAAAGTGCGAAACGCATATCGGACCTACAAGAGGACTTTATAGGCACTATAAATCCGCAAAGGATTTCCTTTTTATTGCACTTTGTGAATGTTGTTCTCCATTTTTTGTTTGAATTCAATAATTTCGATTTCAAAGAAATCTCCAGATTTATTACCTATTTAACACCTCGCAGATCAAATCAGGACAAGCCAGAGGAAGGATGAGGACATCCTGTTAAGAGTCCCACTGCGCTACCGATGTGAGCCATATGCTAAGATTTGGCTCCATGTTTGTGAGCAATACCATCATTATTAGACATTTATAATTCTATACAAACATTATTGTACTATGTTGTATTATTTTGTTTCCTTATAGAAACAAGAGACGCATGCTCCACATATTGTATGTATGATTTACAAAACAACATACATTTACATAGCTAGCTCATGAATAGCCTGTCTTAATTCAGTCTCTGGTCATGGTATGAATTTATTACTGGCATTTATAAAGTGCCAACATATTGCGTAGCGCTGTACAATTGGGAAAAAGACAATACAGTATAAAAACAGACCAATACAAAATGTAGAGGGCCCTGCCCATGAGCTTACAATCTAAAAGGTTAAAATGGGGAGATGAATCAAGAGCAGAGGTAGCAGAGGAATTTGAAGGTGATGACAGAGAGAATTATCGTATAATTGCAGTTATTGATAACATGTGAAGGGAATGAGGAGGTGATTGACTGTGGTTTCAAACAGCTGGAAGAGCATGCTATATAGTTAGAAGGAACCTACTGCCCACCCCCCTCCAGACCCCACCCCTAATGGACCTAATGTCCCCCCCCGGCCCCTGGCGGGTGGGGGCCATAATGATAATTATCAATATGGCCCCCACCCGCCGCCCAGGGGTGGGGGCCGGGGGAGGAGGGGGCAGTAGGCCCCCCCTTCCCATTATCATTATGGCCCCCACCCGCCGCCCAGGAGTGGGGGCGGGGGTCAGTAGGTCTCCACAGGCTGCTCACTGCTTACTAGACATGCCCCTAATCGCGGTATAGCAAGTAGGGGCAGCATTTACTAATACTAAGCAATCTTTATTAGTACATTTATTAGACATGCCCCTAATCGCGGTATAGCAAGTAGGGGCAGCATTTACTAATACTAAGCAATCTTTATTAGTACATTTATTAGTAAATTTGGCTGAAAGACCAATTTAGGTCTTTCAGCCTTTTAGTAGATAGCTCCCTGATACCATGGGAATTAGGGAGTTATCTACTAAGCGGCTGCAAGATACAGCCACAGCAAGAATAGGATTGGAGTTTCATTCATCCGAATAAAATGCCGAATTGCATTCTAAAAGAAACAAACATACTGTTCTCATTCAGTTAGAACGCAATTCGGCAGTTTCGTCTAAAATGACAGAAAGCATCGCTGGAACACAGAGGAAAGGTGAGAATCATGGGAAAATTGCTCTGACCAGCGGAAATGAAGCACACTTTGCTCCTCCGCTGGTCAGAGCTTTGTCTTATGATTTTAAAGAAAACTAAAGAAGACAGGAAGAAAAGAAAAACAGATCCTGAGAGAGGGAGAGAAGAGGAAGAGATTGAGGAAAGGTAAGTTCAGCATTACAGTGCCTCTTTAAGACTGCCTCCAGTAGCTGTCTACCAGACAGCCACTGGAATCGCTTCCTGGATCCTAGCGGACTTTTTTTTCAATTAACTGACATTGGACGTCCTCATACTTTGCATGAAGACATTCAGCGTCAGCCATTTCACCATAGGAAAGCATTCACTTAATGCTTTCCTATGGGGTGGTCTAATCCGCGTGCAGCATTTGCCGCACATACGCATTAGTGCCCCCTATCGAGCGACGGAGAAGGAGGCACAGGGGCTATAGTGTCAGAAATACAGCTTTGTATTCCTGGCACTTCTCGTATCCATTGAACAGTCTGGCAATGGCTTGCAAATGCTTCAGGCAAGAGAACTGAAGCTTCTACAAGTTGTTCTTAGATATACCCCCAAAGAAAAATAAATAATTAAATACATGCATGTTTTCAATGTGGGTATATCTATTAGTTACATAGTTAAATAGGCTGAAAAGAGATATATGTCCATCAAGTTAATTCTTCCTCACATTTGTTTTTAGCTGTTGATCCAATAGGAGGCAAAAAAAAAAAAAACAGTTTGAAGCACTTCCAATTTTGCAACAAACTACAACAAAAAATTCCCTCGACCCCAGAATAGCAGTCAGATTTATCATTGGATCAAGAGGCGATTACCCTACAGTTGAAAGATATAATTGAATATTCTGTTTTTGCAAGTATGCATCTAGTTGCTGTTAAAACATCTGTACAGACTCGGATAAAACCATTTCTTGAGGCAGAGAATTCCATATCCTTATTGTTCTTATGGTTAAAAAAAAACCAAAAAAAAAAAAAAAAAACACACCTTTCCTTTGGACTTTCTTTTTTCTTGTGTACTACGTATAGTCCTGTTTGTGAATAGATTTCCACCCAATAGTTTGTATTGCCCCGGATATATTTGTATAATGTTATCATATCCCCTCTGAGGCAATGTTTTTTTCTAAACTAAAGAGGTTTAAATTTGCTAACCTTTCTTCATAGCTAAAATGTTCCATTCTTTTTTTAAAAAATTTGTAGCCCGCCTCTGCACTTTTTTTTAGTGCCATAATATCCTTCTTTAGAACAGGTGCCCAAAATTGCACAGGATATATTTAATATGTGATTTATAAAGAGGCACAATTATATTCTCGTCTCGAGAATGAATGCCCCTTTTCATGCATGACTATACCTTACTGGCCTTGGCCACTGCTGATTGACATTGCACATTGTTGCATAGTTTGTTGACTATAACAATTCCCAAGTCCTTGTTGTGTGTTGTTATCCCCAATTCACTAGCATTAATGGTTTAAGTTGTGCATACTTTACCCCGAAGTGCATAACTGCATTTTTCTATATTAAATTTAATTTGCCATTTGAGTGTCCAGTTCCCCAAGTCTATCTAAATCCATCTGCAGCAAAGTAATATCTTGCTCACATTGTATTACTTTACAGAGTTTTGTCTCATCTGCAAACACTGAAACATGAGTTTCAATGTTTTTTTCAAGATCATTTACAAACATGTTAAATAGAAGAGGTCCCAGAACAGAACCCTGAGGGACACCACTTGCCACCTTTCTCCAGCTTGAAAATGTACCATTAATGACAACTCTCTGCACTCTATTTTTAAGCCAATGTTCTACCCAAGAACAAGTTTTCATCTGGACCGATTTCTTTGAGTTTGAACACTTATCTATTGTGTGGAACTGTATCAAACGCCTTGGCAAAATCCAAATAGATCACGTCCACTGCCACACCCTGATCTACTTCTACTTACTTCTTCGTAGAATGCAATCAAGTTAGTTTGACATGACCTGTGCTTCATAAAACCATGCTGATTTTTGCTGATAATCACATTCTTCTCAAGGAATGCTTGAATATTACTCATTAATAACCTTTTCTACCATCCACAGAAGCTCACAGGTCTATAATTTCCAGGCAAGTAATTTGAACCCTTTTTGAATATAGGATAGGATCACTAAAATACTGATTTTTATTTTGTTGGGATTTAGGAAGTATCCCTTTAAAGGTGTCTTATTGTGCCATATTATATTTCTGTCACTCTGCCCCAAAGATCTAATAAGTTGTACAGTGTCTGAGCAGGGTAGAGCACCCCAGAATGCAAGGCATTATGGATGAGACACTGTACAACATCAAACAACAAAGGAACAGTGTTGGTGGTCTAAACAGTTACACACAGAGTTACAATAACCGTACAATCACTGAACCACAGGTTTGAGATTGCCTATCAGTAAGAAAAAATAAATGTATGTTTAAACGGCAGGGGAGAATCATATTAACAGTTACGGTTTTAAGTAAACAGAGTGTAAAGCAATTATAATAAAGCTGGAAAATATATAATGCATTCAAGTGGGGCGGGGATTAAAACTGGGGAAAGACTGCAGAATGGAGATAATAAATCTAAGCTAATACAAAGTATTTACAGGTGGATATAAGATCTATCAAGGGGCTTCCTCAACAAAGTGTATAGGAGAGTAAATGCCATTTAATATTGCAGCATCTCAACATACCCTTGCCCATGAATAGTCCATGGGCACAGTTGGCGGGGGAACCTCTTCAGCAGGTACAATCTCTCCTTTGCTGACAAGGTCCTCGTACACAGACCTGGATAAGAGCAAACAAACACCAAGTTAACCATCTATTTTCCATCTATTTACATTTTCTTTTAATCAAGAACTTTCCACATTTAAGCTATTATACACTTTTCCCCAAGTTCATTACCAAATCGCAAGAGACTGTGGAGCAAACAACTCATTTTTACGTTATTGATAAACCACTTGAGTTCATGCATGAATATTCTGGCAGTAATCTCCCCCATAAAACTTTTCCTTTCCTCCTCAAAATTCTTGTAGTAAGTATATTTCAAGAAGAAAACTTGTTATCCCACTCACTGGATCACATCTCCAAGTTCATCAAAGCTGCGAGGTACAAACACACCAGATTCTTTCAATGCCTGGTTTTTGGCAACTGCTGTTTCAGATACTTGGTTAGCACAGGCTCCAGCATGGCCAAACTGCACCTGTGTTACACAATAGAAATAGTTCACACTCCTGAAAGCAGTAATAAAACCACAGCTGGAGGGACACGAGATTTCTTTAGTAAATGGTATTCACATTGCATTGTGTGTTTTGGTAACAATATGCTTTTTATACAAAACTATTTCCCAAACACCAGATATATAGATCAAAATCCTCATTTTAGCTCTGACGTTACCAGATAGGTACAGAAACCAATGCACAAAATCACTTAATGTAAATTTTGTTAGGTGAAATAAAATTAAAAAAAAAGTATGCATTCTTTGGCAAGGAAGACAGAAAAAGCTTTAATAGGAAACTGTAAGGGCATATTTTCTAATGATAATACAGGTGATCTATCACTCTACACCCCTGACCTAGTGGTTAAATATGTGACACAATTACACGGTACAAACCATGTTAATTTATCATATTTTACCTCTGAAGAGAACATGGTAGCACAAGTCCCAATACACCAACACACAATAGGTTTAGTGAGTCTACCCTCCTTTATTCCACGGCATATTTTATACTCCTCTGTTCCACCAATCTGGGAGAGAAGCATAACATGATCAGTTTAGTTTAAATGCATAGCAAAAGGTGAAACATTTTAAGAGAATCTTATGAATTTATAACAAATTATTTTGCTTAAAGTAATTTTAAAATTAAAAAAAAAAAATAATCCTTCAAAAAACACTGTTCAGTGCCTAGTGCTGGTCAGTAAAAATTCAACATACAAATAGTATTTCCAGGACTTTTCTAACAAATTGGTTAAAACATAGCTTTCACTTGCTTTGTTCAAAATATCGACATTTCAGTTATCATCATCAAAATGTTAATCAAGACATCAGGATAGAAATAAGTTTACACCTTAAGACAAATGACAAGAAACCAAGGTACTAACCTCAATCAAACTCCCTCATGAACGCATGACCAAACCGAAGCCACAGGCACGCATGCACTATAAATGTGACCACCCGATCAGCAGTGTGCAAATGGGACAGTTGTCATAGTATCCGAAAAATAAAAACAAAAGCCGGGCCAATCGCCTGACTATAAGTAATTGGCAAAGAGACTAATCTGATAGATCTGCATGAAAGTGAATCACCAATAAAGCTTACCAGAGTCTGAAGTATTCAGTCCTGTTTTAGCAACAACTTTTTTGAAAGTGGAAGAGAATATAAAAAAAAATGATAAGTCTGACTTAAGATTCAAGAGAGAGAGAAACAGGAGAAGGTGGCCAACGACTGTAAGGAACATCGGTTTTACAAATGGTTAAGGGGCAAGACAACCCAGTTTTGACAATCACAGCAGACCTGTCAGCGTATCCACAAACCCAGACAAATTTATACTTGATAAAACGCCGGGACCCCTCTCTTTCTTCATTATTTCTCTCTCTTTTTCTTCTTTCTGTCTTAATTTCCGGACGGGAATATCCACAAAACTAAAAATACTTGAGGAGTGGATGACAGAGTTGACACATGATCCCTCACAGATAGTGTACACCCATCTGGTGCTTAAGATACCCACTAAGTACTCAATGGACAGGTCTAATGATATTCACTCTCAACCACTGCGTAAAGATTTGGATGCAATATCACTAACTTGCATGTATATATCTTCTCATCCTGGACTCTGTAACTACACTGTAATCATTTCACCCTCTGTTACAAATATGGATCATAATGTCACCAATGTCGATAAACATATGCTCTATTTACTGTCATTATACACTGCATTATCTACTGCTCAAGTATAAATAAAGAATGTAAAAAAATAATTAAATAAAGATGTCTCTTGAAATCAGAGTCTGGTCAAGAGACATCAAAGTCCAGGCGCTAGGTGGGGGCATCAGCTCTGCCATTTTTATAGGTACTAAAACCATCAATATCAAAGAAAAAGGGGCGAAATAGGCAAAGGTTAATTACAAGAAGAGGACAGAAGGGGCAAAAGGCAAGCCTCCATGGCTACTGAAGTGATTACAGTATTAAACTGGTCATCCAGACCACTGCAAAGGGATGAAATGCAGTTGTTAAGCAAGTGACTGTCTTTTACAGCCGGAAGGAAATTAAGATTACGATTTGAATCGGGAGATGCTACAGCGGCTTGCACAACTTGGGCCTACTCCCACTGAAGAACCTCTTGCATCACCCTTAACTCCGATGCTGGAGAGGTAGGGTAACACTACCATGGCTGAAAGCTTGGTGAATCAACCCCAGGAGCCCACTGATGACTCGGTCCCCACAACAAAGCGGAACCTCAAGGTACTCCTGGCAGACATACAAAAACTGTTAGCTGCAGATGTAAACCTTGTCAATATTGATATTCAACATGTCACAGACAAAGTAAGAACTGCTGAGCAGGACATTGTGGAGGTGCAATCCAACCAGTCATCCCTCAAGGACTCTGTCTACCAGCTCCAAACTGAACAGAGGGCACTATCAACACGCATGACTGCTCAAGATCGGCAGCCACATAAAAATCAGGGGGATTGTGGCGAAACCGACCTCACCACTGGGCATTGGAGAAGACTGATTGCCAGCCTCCTGCCATGTGACTATGGCCACTGGGATGTATTGCCCTTTAAAGACATGATTTGGGCATAATGGATTTGTTTTGTGCTGCTGCTGGCCCTTTAAGAACCATTTGGGGACATACTGTGGAGTTACTGGGTGCCCACCATTTCCTGTATCAGAGGCACATGGTGAGAACAATGGATGAAGCACATGGTGAGAACAATGGATGGCGGCCATTTTAACTCACAGACACTGTTTGGACTTTTCAACACGGTGCCATCTCGCCGGTATTTGGTGCACAGAGACATCGTGCAGTGGTTTTGGACTATACAACAGGGGACACATTATACAGTGATTGTTTTTTATTTAGCCTGTATATGTTCTGTGCATTAAACTGTATCTTCCAAATTACTGAACGGATCTGGGTGAATTTTGGATATGTGGTTCACCCAGATCCCCCGGTTCCAAGGATATACTTTTTATGGGGTTATTGCATGTTTTGGGGTCCCTGTGATGTGTTTTATAATACTGTATTTATCTGCCTGTGATAATTAGATTAACCATTGTGTTCAGTAATCATATCACAGGCAGAGGGGAGGATTTTGTGTGGGAGTGTCTGTGTGTATTGTACGGATTGATTGGCTGTGTTTCAAAACCCTGTGGGCAGTACTAAGTTTGTGGATTGGGAATAAAAGAGGCTGTATGTGCCAGTACAGTCAGTTCTGCTTGACCTCAAAACTAAGTGTCGTCTCGTTATTGGGGGAATTGGATTGTATGCTGATTGCCAGGAGTGTAAGCTGATTGTATGCTTTTCCTGTTCAGCTGCTTACAGCATTCATATGCTTGAGAGCATTCGTATGCTTCTCCGGTTCGGTGGTTGTGGTGTCTGCTGCAGTGCTTGGAGTCCTCAGGAAGCGCTAGGAGTATCCCTCAATGGAGGTACCCAGTTGGGGTGCCAGGTGATGCGTTACAGGGATACCTGCTGCAATCTCAGCCAAAGAACTGCTGCATTACGTCCGACTCTTACCAACTACTATAATGTTTCCCACTGTCGCTAAGAAAATAGCCATAGATGGGATCTACTGAATCTCCAGCTCTGCTAGAGCTCCCAACGCTATGATCAGGGATGTGATCTTGCACTGTGTATCAGTCCAGGACAAAATCGAAATCATGCTATCCCTAAAGAGCAAAACCCCACTGGCCTTCGAAGGCTCCCACCTTTCCTTCTTCCAGGACATCACGAGAACCACTCTGTTATGGAGAAAATCTTTCGGTACCATCACCACCAAACTAAGAAATGCTGGAGTGGCCTACAGATGGGGAATGAATGGCTCCCTACAAGCAAACCACAATGGGACCACACACACACTTTAACCTCGCCAGAGGGGGCACCCACATTAATGAAGGCCCTTTGCCTTCCCGACTCGCCTGCAACCCAGCACCCAGTGCCACCCCGAACGTTGGGCATAGCAACAGGAATATCTCTGATTCCCACTTTAGCTGTACAACTGTAATGCTCTAACTCAGGCTGGTATGTATGTACTATCATAGAGTCAAATGATTTGATGGCTTTTATTGTTTTGTGCTTACGCCCTATAAGTACATTTCAATTATTATTTTGCCTTATTAACTATTGCTTATTTTAATATATTTTAGTACGATGCACCTTTCTATACTAGTACAACAGTGCTTTTCATTGCAGCTATACACTGCTATTCTGTGAGTGTCATCATAACGTCAGCTTGGTCTTATAAGGTGTTATATTTTATTACTTGTGTAATAGACTTTGGATCCTTGCTTGCTAGGCTATTATTTTTTCTACAGCATTCCCTTGTAGGAAACTATATATATTTCAGACCTAGGTAATTTTCATTTGCATTCCGCTTCTGTGCAGATCAAGCAGATTACTGCTTTTGCTAGCCTGGGGCATAGAAGCTTTCCTCTGTAGGAATCCAACTATTTTGCTATGTGAGGTAGCCTGGGTGGGGCACCTTAGACCATTGGAGGTCTTTATACCTTTTATGTTTAAATTCTTTTTATTAGATTTTTTCATGAGAATAATAATAGACATAACAACATCTCGGGGGAGGAACCTTACAAAGAAAAATTAAGGACTCTTATCCCCAATAAACAAACAAAGGTATATTATTCTATTTCAAAATTCATCAATAGGCCATCTAGAACACAATAATACAATAACATTAAAGTCCCATCGATTGGATATCATGTTCCAAAATCAGCCTTAAAAACCTTATAGATAAGACAGACAAAAACAAAGACAAAACTGGTCATATGTATTGCAGATCCACTACCACATTTAAGTAATACAGTATGAGGACAAGGAGCCCAACAATAGAACCCGTTAAAAAAAAACAAAAAAACATCAGATTAACCATAAGGTTATCGTAAGCAGTACCCCACCTCCTCAAACTCCTTAAAGCCCATTAATTTTTTCAACAAGACTAAAATAAAACGTCAGAGAATTAAAATTAGGATATTCTCTCATGGACATTAACCCCTTTTCCATCTCGACTTGGAATAGAAGTTGGGCTTTAACTTGATCTCTTGTAGGAATATCAGTGCTTTTCCAAAATCTAGCAATTAATATTTTAGTAGCCATTAAACAGTGTATAATCACAATATCAAGATTATCCTTCATTTCTAAACCCAAAAGTTGGAGTAGGGCGACCTCCGGTTTGAATTCCAAATGAATACCTCCAATACTATTTATAAATTCATATGTAATCGTCCAAAGAGATTTAATTCGATGGCAGAACCACCATATATGAACCATAGAACCATCTTGAGGTAGACAGCGCCAACAGTTAGATGGGTTAGTAATAGAAATTTTAGCAAGTCTGGTCGGTACCAGGTACCATCTATATAATATTTTAGTAAAAGTCTCTAGAATATTCAGGCAGTGAATAATTTTTTTAGTCCTTACAAAAGATTTACACCAACTATTAAATGGAATAGAAATTGCTAGATCAGTTTCCCATTTAGTTAAGGCTTTGGGGATAAGTGGGGTCCCTTTCATTTTTATTAGTTCAACTGCAATAGAGAAGATCCTTTTAACGTTACACCCTGAGGAGATTTTTCTAAACAGTATTCCAAAACGGCCTTCTAAAACCAATTTGTTATCTTTCAAATAGCTCTTAATACGAAGAAAGTTAAATAATTATCTGGAGGGTAAATCTAACCAATTTTTCAAAACTTCAAAGCTTTTCAATTGTTGGTCATTATAGAGATCTTTTATCTTATGATTAGAGTCTTTATACCAATTCGTCAGGTTTATCTCTAGCATAAAACATTCTAACGACCTTAGACTCAGGCTCTCATATAGTTTTCTATTAATATTCAACTTCTTCTTTATATTGGTCCATTCTCTTAATGTCTGTAATAAAGACAAAGGAAAATGAGAACCAATCTCGCACAGATGCTTATTCTGGCTTGCCTCTCTCCATAAGAGGAATTCGAGATTATCTAAACCAAGTCTGGCTGCTTCAATTTTATACCAAGCTTGGTCAATAGAGTCACTTAATTGTAATTTACTGGCATGAACAAGTTTATATTAGCCTGGTAGATTTGATTCACTAGGGGGTAACCCAACTCCCCCTGATGGGCCTTCCTTGATAGAGTGTATGTACTAATTCTTGGTCTCTTCCCTCTCCAGAAATACGCTGTAATGCTATTTTGCAGCATATTCAGCCAATAGCTTGGGATCGAGAGAGGGAGCATACTAAATAAGTAAGCCCATTTAGGAATTATATAGGCTTTAATAGTATTTATCCTTCCCCACCAGGAAATTTAATGCACTCTCCATTCTTTTATTAACATGTTAGTCTCTTTTAACAGCTTCAAAAAATTGATTTCCATAGTCCGTCATATCTGCAGTTATAATTACCCCCAGATATATAAACTTTTTTTGTCCATTTAAAATCGAAATCTTTCTTTAGGGAAAGTAAATTATCTTTATGGATATTAATCAGCATAGCTTTGTTTTATTCGTGTTCAATTTATAATTTTAAACACTACTATAGTTGTTAAATTCTTGCATTAAATGAGGAAGAGAAACCAGGGGATCCGTAATAGAAATTAAGATATCGTCAGCATATAGACATATCTTCCATTCATCATGTTGGGTTCCTAATCCTTTAATCCCTGCATTTTGTCTAATATTATTTGCTAGTGGTTCAATTGATAAGACGTATAATAAAGGTGAAAGAGGACACCCCTGTCTCGTCCCATTGTTAATATAAAACCAATCTGAGCATAAATCACGGGCTACTAGACGGGCAGAGGGATTCGAATATATAGCTCCCACCGCACTCAAGAACCATCCATCAAAACCGAACTGTAACAAAGTTCTCTTCAGATATCCCCATCCGACCCTGTCAAAGGCTTTTTCTGCATCCACCGACAGGGTCAGAAGGGGAGTTCCCTCAACTTGAGCCCATTCTATAATATCCAGAACCCTACGAGTGTTATTTGAGGAGTGTCTTCCCTGCATAAAACCTATCTGGTCCCTATGTATAAGTGATGGCAAGACTATTTCCAAAAGTTCCGCTAAAATTGCGGCATAAAGTTTCATTTCCACATTAACCAGAGATATAGGGCGATAATTACTCACATCATCTGAACTTTTGCCCAGTTTCAAAATTGGAGTAATATGAGCCCTTAATAAATCTTGAGATGCATTCCCTTTGATTGCCAATTCATTAAAGGTGTCAGTTAACAACGGAATTAATTGTCTCTTAAATACCTTAAAAAACAAATTTGTATACCCATCCGGTCCAGGAGCTTTACTATTAACAATCTTATCAATTGCCAATTCCACTTCATGAAAAGATATATTTCTATTAAGTTTCACCATCTGATCGTTAGATAATTTAAATAGATTAGAATTTTTCAAGTAACTGTCCAAAAAACCTTGGTCAGGAGATTTATTCAGGTTATAAAGTTTTCGATAGAACACTCTAAATTTACTGGCAATTTCTTCAGGCTTATAGATGTAATTAATTCTATCTCTTAATTTAGATATCTTATGGTCAGTCATCTTTTTCTTTAATTTATTTGTTAAGACTGAGTCTACCCGGTTATTCTTGTAATAATATTTCATATTTAACTTGTTTAGATTACGTTCTGCCCTATTCTTAATCTGTTCATTTATCTTTTCTTGGTAGGTTTTAATAGCTAGAGCTCTATCTACAGAGTAAACTTGTTTGTTAGCTTTAGAAAGATTATAAAATTGAATGTAAAGATCCGACAAAATATTATCTACATTCCTTTTTTGAAAACTTGAAAGTTTTATCCAGTGTCCCCTGATGACTACTTTACACGAGGACCATAAGCATTCTTTAGATACCTCCTCAGTTGAATTCTCCTTAATAAAGAAATCAATTAACTTCTCTATATGTTCTACATTTGCTTTGTTTTTTAGCAGATAGTCTGCCAATTTCCAGATCTGCGGAGATCTCTTATTAATTTCCACCAGATCTGTGATTACCATGTCATGGTCTGACCAAGTATTTTCAACGATAGACATTAGAGAGATTGCCTGAACTAATTTTAAATTACCCAAAATCATATCTATCTGAGCAGCTGAATTGTGAGGGATAGATCTGTGTGTAAAATTTCTTTCACTGGGATGAAACAGTCTCCAACAATCAAACATATCCGCTTTCTTAATCACTCTACTTAACTATGCCGCCTGCCTTTTAAGAGATTTATCTATCCTCTGATTTTTAGCCAATTGTTTGTCCCAAGAGGTATCAAAGATGCAATTAAAATCGCCAGCAAGAATGACTACCTTTTTTAACCTGTTCAACCAAACCTAAAATTTTCGTCAAAGTTTTAATAGGGTCTTTATTAGGTAAATAAACATTGACCAAAGTATAACCCAACCCATTCATTTGACCCACTAAAATACTAAATCTCCCTTCCGGATCTAAGTAGTTATAACAGCAATCAAAGATAACTTCTCTAGAAAAAATTATAGATACACCACATTTCTTTTTTCCTTTTAAAGAAGCAGAATAAATCACCGGGTATTTTTTGAAGAACCATAATTTTCTAGCTTCCCCTTACCAGTGGGTTTCCTGAATAAAACCGATTTGGATTTTCTGATTCACCAGAGTATTGAACAAGTATCCTCGTTTAAGAGGAGAGTTGAGGCCTTGGGCATTAATAGTTAGGATTCTAACCATCAGTTAATCTATATTTCTCTTTAGGGCTCCTTGACCACATCTGCAACACATATGACCAGTTAAACATACTACACACCTGACAATACAACAATAAAACAATGAAATCTACATAAACATCTGGAATACCAAAAATAATATTCCACATAATGAGAATCCCATAGACTCCCACAGGAATAAGCATGGGATCACGGACTTTCTTATAACAAGAAAAAGAAAACGGAGAGGTGGAAGAAGTGAGAGGAAGAAGGAGGAAAAAAAAATAATTTTTTTTTTTCTACATTAAGAATCTCGCTTCATAATTATCACCATTCAAAATAAACACCATTCAAAATAAATATCAAATTAGAATACTCTAAATTAGTTATACCACTCCCAACATTATCACTATTCTTCCTATAGCCCATTAAGGGCCGGCGTGAATACACTCAACTTCTAATGTGTTAATAATAGGTATTTCTTGTTTATTGTTTACAGTGCTATCATCATGACCTTTACTCCCATCATACCAATATGGACTAAATCACCAAATTGTACCAATTTAGGGCATTATAAATACCTCCCTGTTTCCCAAAATTTGATCCCTCTAATAATCACAAATATTCCAGAGATAACATCAATATATATTTTTCTTTTTCCCTTCCCATGTCTACTCTATATTTGTTACACCATTCCTAGTATTTCCCTAAATTTTTTTCTATTATCCCTAATAGGACCAGTATAAGCAAACTAATATGGTACAAACACCAAAAATCATTACTCCGATATTACCATTATAAACTAATACCCTTATTACTCCTATTAAGAGCTTTATAAATACATTCTTAAATCTTAGGCTTATATTCACTCTTGTGCCCTTCTGTGTGTTACCGTGATGTCACCAAGTTACAATATTACCGCAAATTATCCCATTAAAAGCGTTGTAAATACGCTCTTAACTCCCATAACCCCCCCAAAAAAATATCTCCCAACCTCTCATCTCTTCCACCTCCCCCGCCCTCCGCTTTCCAGGCAAGAACGCAAGCACAGCACTTCGCCCACCAGACTAACTACCTAAAACTACATATCAATTTCTTTTAACCAGGCATGAGCCAGATCCACTGACTTGAAAGACTTCCATATGTCATAACAAATTAATAAAACTGACTGAGCGGCCCATTTAAACTTTAAATTGAATTTCTTCAGACACGGAAAAAACGTGGAAAATAAATTTCTTCTTTGCCTCGTTAAGCAAGAGACGTCTGTTAACACTTTTATTGCTGTAAACTTTTCATCGTTTATCTTCGTCTTCCTCGCAGACTGGAGGATCTGAGTCCTGAGATCATATGAAACGAACGCTACAATAACATCACGTGGGTACAATTGATCTTTCTTTCTATAAGAAAGACGGTGGTACCAAGACAACTTAATATCTTGCTGTGCCATAAGGACCCCCAGACAGTTAAAATATTTTATCAAAAAATCATATAGTTGAGCATATAATATGTCCTCAGGAATATTTCTGAACCTTAAGTTCAACCTTCTTGATCTGTCTTCCAGCTCACACATTTTGTCTTCCATTTCTTTCAACTTCAATTCCGTCTTGATTTGAGTGTCCTTTACTGCCTGGAGCTGAAACACAATATCTTCTTCCTTTTCTTCTAATTTATGAATGCATTCCTTTAACTCAGCTAAGTCCATCTTTATATCAGAAAATGTATCACTCAAATCTTTTTTAATATCTTTAGACAGATCTTCCAAACATTCTTTAAAAAAGAAGGAGTAACTACTTATCCAAAACTTTGATAGGTGAAACAAAAACCCCTGTTTGAAGCGATTCCAGAGATGATTGCTCCATACAATCATGGCCATCTTGTGGAACAAAAAAAGCCGATCTTTTTTCTTGCTTTTGGCCCTTTTTATCAGCTTTTGTTGAGGCTTTACTCTCCTGTGCTTTTTTAGAAGACATATCGCTTTAAATTAGGGAGAGAGAGAAAAAAAAAAAAAATTATTCCCCTTTCTATCGTATATAGCCCAAATCAAACAATAAATCAGCACCAATTGTATATGTGCTAAATGAGCTATATATATGCAGGTATAACGGGAAGACCAACTAGTTGCATAACATGCACTTTTGAGTCCTTAGATGGCCACATATGTTTTCTCTTCTTCTTTTCTTTTCTCCTCCCCTCTTCCTCTTTTATGTCGCTTTTTATACTATATTCTAAATTCACAGTGTGATAGCTGCCTTTAGGTATAAGATGCCACAGAATTCACAGTGTTAAAGGTGCCTTTTTGGCATACAAAGCCACAGTATTCACAGTATTATAACTGCATTTTGGCATAAGGTGCCCCAATATTCACAGTGTTATAACTGCCTTTCAGTATAAGGTGCCACAGTATTCAGAGTTATAAGTGCCTTTTGGTGTAAGATGCCACAATAGTCACAGTGTTATAACTGCCTTTTGGCATAAGGTGCCCCAGTATTCACAGTGTTATAACTGCCTTTTGGTATAAGGTGCCACCTTATTCACAGAGTTATATGTGCCTTTTGGTGTAAGATGCCCCAATATTCACAGTGTTATAACTGCCTTTCAGTATAAGGTGCCACAGTATTCAGAGTTATAAGTGCCTTTTGGTGTAAGATGCCACAATAGTCACAGTGTTATAACTGCCTTTTGGCATAAGGTGCCCCAGTATTCACAGTGTTATAACTGCCTTTTGGTATAAGGTGCCACCTTATTCACAGAGTTATATGTGCCTTTTGGTGTAAGATGCCACAATATTCACAGTGTTATAACAGCCTTTTGGCATAAGGTGCCGCAGTGTTCACAAAGTTCACACTGCCTTTTGGTATAAGATGCCACAATATTCACAATGTTATAGCTGCACAAGGTTATAACTGCTTTTTGGTATAAGGTGCCACTATATTCAGTGATATAACTACCTTCTGGTATAAGATGCCACAGTTTTCACAGTGTTATAACTGCCTTTTGGCATAAAATGCCACAGTGTTCACAGTGTTGTAACTGCCTTTTGGTATAAGATGCCCCAGTATTCACAGTGTTATAAGTACCTTTTGGTATAAGATGCCACAGTTTTCACAGTATTACAACTGCCTTTTGGCATAAAATGCCACAGTGCTCACAGTGTTATAAGATGTGCTATAAAAAGTGCCAAAAAATGATAAAGGAAAAAGGTAGCGTTCTCACACAGTCTAAAATTATACTGGATGTCCGCGCTAGTTCACTTAGCTGTCGACCTGTCTAGTACCATGCTGCTGGATACTGCTGGATCGGTCGGCTAGGTAGGTATCGGCCTGCTTGGGCTCCGTGCTGGCGGGGCGGCAATGGCGCTTCTGGGCTTAGCGTCTCGCCATCTCTTCCCGCCAATCTCTCCGGTCCGGTCCCAACTCCTCCCCTCCCCACGTGAGCGTCGTCACGTCCCGACCTGAAGTGTAATGAAAAAAATCTAAATCATGCTATCCCTAAAGAGCAAAACCCCACTGGCCTTCGAAGGCTCCCACCTTTCCTTCTTCCAGGACATCACGAGAACCACTCTGTTATGGAGAAAATCTTTCGGTACCATCACCACCAAACTAAGAAATGCTGGAGTGGCCTACAGATGGGGAATGAATGGCTCCCTACAAGCAAACCACAGTGGGACCACACACACACTTTAACCTCGCCAGAGGGGGCACCCACATTAATGAAGGCCCTTTGCCTTCCCGACTCGCCTGCAACCCAGCGCCACCCCGAACGTTGGGCATAGCAACAGGAATATCTCTGGTTCCCACTTTAGCTGTACAACTGTAATGCTCTAACTCAGGCTGGTATGTATGTACTATCATAGAGTCAAATGATTTGATGGCTTTTATTGTTTTGTGCTTACGCCCTATAAGTACATTTCAATTACTATTTTGCCTTATTAACTATTGCTTATTTTAATATATTTTAGTACGATGCACCTTTCTATACTAGTACAACAGTGCTTTTCATTGCAGCTATACACTGCTATTCTGTGAGTGTCATCATAACGTCAGCTTGGTCTTATAAGGTGTTATATTTTATTACTTGTGTGATAGACTTTGGATCCTTGCTTGCTAGGCTATTATTTTTTCTATTGCATTCCCTTGTAGGAAACTATATATATTTCAGACCTAGGTAATTTTCATTTGCATTCCGCTTCTGTGCAGATCAAGCAGATTACTGCTTTTGCTAGCCTGGGGCATAGGAGCTTTCCTCTGTAGGAATCCAACTATTTTGCTATGTGAGGTAGCCTGGGTGGGGCACCTTAGACCATTGAGGTATTTATACCTTTTATATCCAGATGTAGATAGGATATAACCTGCCTTGGATTCATCGCTTTTATGACGGTTTTCATATATGCAGTGAGGGTAGGAAGTGACCCCGGTGATGTTCCTGACCCTAGTTGTGGGCTATGCTTTGGAAAAACCTTACATAGCAGTCCACCCACTTGCCTATTGACCATACTTGAAGAATATGTATAATAGGTTTACAGTTTACAGGTTTACAGTATTCCCAAGCCAAGGACTGAATACTTCAGACTCTGGTAAGCTTTAAAAGGTGGTACACTTTCGTGCGGATCTATCAGATTACTGCCTTTGCCATTCTACCTCAGGAGGTGAGACAAGCCTCGCTTGCGTTTTTATTAACCAGTTACTATGACAACTGTCCAATTTGCACACAGCCGGTCGGTCATATTTTTAGGGAGTGCACGTCCGTGACCTCTGTTTGGTCACGCGCTAAACTTGGTGCTTGTGATGGAGTTTGAAGGAGGTGTGTACATTTGTTTCTTGTCTTTTGTCTTAAGGTATAAATTATTTGTTTTAATAAACCCCTAAATTAGTGACAATAAAAAAAAATTAAAAAAACAAAACAATTAATCAACAGCTAAATTGGTCTGCAATATCAATTGAAACAGTGAATAATTATCTTACAATATAGATCATGCAACTAGATACCAATTAAGGTGCATAAACGACTACTAATTATTCATACAATAATGGTACATAGACGAAGTGCAAAAAATTTTGCAAGATGTATGGGTTGTTTGTTGGGAATGTGTTTACCAGGTTTTTTTGGTTGCTGCATATATTAATTAAATAGTAGGTGATTGTTACACTAATAGTAGGTGATTGTTAAAATCAATTTTGCGCCATCTTATTCATTCTTTGGTGGTGTTTGTGTGAATTGTTTTAGCTCTAGCAGAAGGACACTTTACTTTTGAATTGTTCTCATGTTTTAGTCACCATGTGACTATTATAGGTGCAGGGTATTTATACTATACTTGGTTGTGGTTACATGTTTTGTGTGCTCTCCTGTCCTGCTGATGCTTGCTACCAACAAGGTGGATTTGGCTTTGGAGCCTTTACTGCGCCCTCTGTTGGTAGCAACAGCTATATCACTTTGCATATTCAGGTAGATTTATTGCTAATTCTGCAGGCAGGAGAGATATGTTGTGTTAATAGTGGTCATCCCCACCCAAACCTTTATAAATATATTATTATAAGTTCCTGAATGTTGTCTGATATGATTTGGTTATTTGTATTTTATTAAAGTTGTCACAGTAATCTAAACGTACTGAGCATAAAACTAAAGCCGAGTTTGTTAGTTCATTTTGGAATGGTGTGCCCTGTGTTGATTTTTAGAGATCCCAATAGCAGAGTCTTCAGACCTGTTGGCTGGTTGCATGATTCCTCTAGCCCAAGGGCAAAACAAAAAGACAAGTGTATATGAAACCAAGGGGCTGCTGTCACCTGAACATGCATAAATGGGGTGCTGCTGAGGGCCAATTTATACAATACACAAGATCCACTAAACAGCAACTTCAATGTTGACAGATTTTATTAGTTTTTTTTTAAAAAAAAACACCTAATCTAGGCAAAAATAATGGAGGTTTAGTTACATTATAGGTTTATACATTGCATAAGCCTGCCACAACGTTAATGTACCCCATCTTTGGCAGGTCCTACTCTAGCAGCCTAATGTCTGCTCTTAGGAGACATATAAACAAAAAGAAGATACTTGGAACTTACCCTTTAAAGAATATAGTTATTCTTTGCCTTGGTGTAATATGTAGATTTGACAAAAAAAAAAAACAAAAAAAAAAGGAGCACACACAGGTCTTTACTGTGCAAAACGCGTTGTAGTTTATTCCAAAGTTTTACATCCCAATGATGCTTACTGATCAACGCTTCAACCCTTAGGGTCTCTCTCTTTTTTATATATATATATATATATATATATATATATATATATATATATATATATATATATATATATATATAACATTTTTGAAAGCTTGGCACTCTCCTTTCTAGGAAAAAAAAATAACTTGCCTGAGTGCCACCTGCATTAGTACATATATGAAATAATACATCCAGTGTGCACTCGCAGGACTATCCAATAGTGATTTCATAATATGAAAACAACAAAATTAAATACATGAAGTAGATCGACGTTTCGACCCTGGCGGGTTTTAAACACCATTATTGCATGGATTTCAGTCCTAGACTGCTCCCTTTAAAAATAAATAAATAAATAAATAATATATATCAGATCACAGTGTTACATAAAATATGTTAATATATATAAGAATAAAGAACTTACCAATCCAGTGTTAAAACAGTATGAAGACTGATTGAACCCTGAAGTGTCAATCACCTACGTACTGTCCCAACACTGGATTGTTAAGTTCTTGTGATCTTGAGAAAGACCCGAAACGTCGAAACGTTGATTTAATATTTTGCACAGCCATTTGTTGGAAATACAATAAACACCATTATTGCACGGATTTCAGACCTGGAGTGCTTACACATACAATATATATATATACACACACATATATATAATATATATATATATATATATATATACATATATATACATACATATACACACACACACACACACACACATATGTGGGATTGCACCTAGGCACGTTTAATACAATTTTTTTTAGTATTTGCCAAGCAGAGAGAGAGAGAGAGATACACACACACACACACACTTTAAGCACTCAGAGTACCATCTAGTTGACTTGTCAAGAATTTTGTGTAAAGAAGAAGAAAATACACCTCACCTCTCCAAGAATCACAATCATTTTTACTCCTGGAGTATCCTGGTATCGGAGAACATGGTCCATGAAAGTGGATCCAGGATACCTAATGTGCAAGGAGTGATAAAAGGTTTTTAAATTATCATTACACTAAACATGTACAAACATCCCCAGTGACTATCACGGAGGTAAAAGGAAATATGGGGTCTGTTTTCAGACAAATATAATTCTTAGAAATCAGTAAAACTTGATATGTTTTAACATGACCTCTTTAGTTTAGAAAAAGATCGCGAGGGGACATAACATTATACAAATATAAGACAAAGGAAAGGGTTTTTTTTTTACTGTAAGAACAATAAGGATGTGGAATTCTCTGCCTGAAGAAGTGGTTTTATCAGAGTCCATACAGATGTTCAAACAGTAACTAGATGCATACTTGCAAAAACAGAATATTCAAGGATATAATTTTTCAATGTAGGGTAATAGCTGTTTGATCCAAGGATAAATCTGACTGCCATTGTGGTCAAGAAGGAATTTTTTTCCTAGTTTGTTGCAAAATTGGAAGTGCTTCAAACTGGGTTTTTTTGCCTTATTTTGGATCAACAGCAAAAACAAATGTGAGAAAGGCTGAACTTGATGGACGCAAGTCTCTTTTCAGCTATGTAACTATGTAACTGCTTTTGTTTTTTTGATACATCACTGTTGAAACACGCAAGTAAAAATAAATAAATTAAGTTTAAAACAGAATTGCTGACCAACATAAACTTTTCATACCTGTCTCCACCAATGGCTACACCCTCAAAAACACCGTCTGTTGTCCTTGAAATTATGTTGTTAAGCTCATTGGACATTCCTCCAGAACGGGAAACATAGGCAACGCTCCCAGGACGATAGAGCTTAGATGCTAAAATGTTGTCAAGCATGCCTCCTGTGTTTCCAATCTTGAAGCATCCTGGTTTAATGCCACCAACCTGCACATAGATATGTTTCAAATAAACTTCCACAGACAAAGAAGATATGAGCTCAGCATGTCACAATTATTAGTTATTTTTCTACAGGAAATATTATATATACACACACACACACACACATCGATTTTCTCACCTCTCCTGGGTGGTATGTTTATTTCTCATTCTCGGGTCCTCTACCAGAGGCCTGGGAGTTTGAGGGTTCTGCGCAGTATCTTAGCTGTTCCTAGAACTGCGCTCTTCTGGACAACGATGTCAGATGTCCCACCTGGAATCTGCTGAAGCCACTCCCCCAACTTGGGAGACACAGCCCGGAGTGCACCCATCACAACTGGGACTACTACTGCCTTCAGTTTCCGCATCCTTTCTAGTTCTTTCAGTCCTTGGTATTTGTCCACCTTCTCATGTTCCTTCTTCCTGATGTTATAGTCACTGGGTATTGCCACATCCACTGCAACTGCAGTCTTTCGTTCCTCGTCTACCACCACAATGTCTGGTTGGTTGACCAGCACTTGCTCGTCTGTCTGGATCTTTTAGTCCCACAGGATCTTAGCCCTGTCATTCTCAACTACCTTTTGTGGTATCTCCCATCTGGACTTAGGCAGGTCCAATCCATATTCTGTGCAGATGTTTCGGTACACAATCCCAGCAACTTGGTTGTGTCTCTCCGTGTATGCTGTTCCTGCTAACATCTTGCATCCAGCTACTAGGTGCTGAACTGTCTCAGATGCCTCTTTGCACAGTCTGCACCTTGGGTCTTGCCTGGTGTGGTAGACTCCAGCTTCTATTGATCTGGTGCTGAGTGCCTGCTCCTGTGCTGCTAGGATTGGTGCCTCAGTGCTGTCTTTCAGCCCTTCCTTTTCCAACCACTGGTAAGATTTTGTCATGTGAGCCACATCCACTATCTGCCGGTGGTACACTATCTACCAGTGGAGAGGTTTGTCTTGCCAAAGATCCTCCTCTTTTTCTGCATCCTCGATCTGTGGCAGTCTCAGGCATTCCCTTTGCAGTTCATCTTTGGGAGCCATCTTCATGATGTACTTGTGGATTGCTCTGTGTTTCATCCAGGACTGTGGCCCCGGCCTTCCTTCCTTCCGGCAGGTGTACAGTCTCTGGGTGCTGGATTTCGGGTGGAATCCTCCATTCATAGTAAGTAGTTTCTTGGTCTTGACATCCATGGTGATCAGTTCTTCTCTTGGCCAGGTTATTATTCCAGCTGGGTACCTGATGACCAGTAGGGCATATGTGTTCATGGCTTGGATCTTGTTCTTAGCATTGAGCTAGGACCTCAGGATCTGTCAGACCCTTTGGAGGTACTTGGATGTTGCTATCCTCCTTGCCTCTTCCTCATGGTTGCCATGCGTTTGTGGTACACCCAGGTACTTGTAGCTGTACTCTTCATCTTCTATGTGGCCTTCTAGAACTTCAACTCCTTCTGTCCTGATCATCTTCCCTCTGTTTGCTATCATCCGCCCACACTTCTCTAGTCCGAAAGACATTCTGATGTCCTTGCTGTATATCCTAGTTAGGTGGATCAGTGAGTCAAAGTATCGCTCATTGTTGGCATACAGCTTGTCATCCATGTAGACTAGGTGGCTGATGGTGGCTCTACTCTTGAACCTGTATCCGTATCCACTCTTCTTGATGATCTGGCTAAGTGGGTTGCGGCCTATGTAGAACGGCATTGGAGATAGTGCATCACCTTGGTATATGCCACATTTAATGTTCACTTGAGTTAGTGTCCTGGAATTGGCTTCTAGAGTTGGTTTCCACTTGCCTATCGAGTTCTTGATGAAGGCTTTTATGGTCTTGCTGGCCTTGTAGAGAGCTAAGCATTCCAGTATCCATGTGTGTGGCCGTACACAGATTGGTCTGTCTGGACTTAGACTCCCTTGTGACTGCTTGGTCTACCAGTAGTTTGTGTTTTGATACTCTGGTGTGGTTTCAAATCCCCTTCTGAGTATTATTCATATGCCCTTGGATCTTGGAGGCTATGATGCCGGACATGAGTTTCCATGTTGTGGTGAGGCAGGTTATTGGTCGGTAGTTGGATGGTGCTGTTCCCTTGTGAGGGTCCTTCATGACCAGTATTGTTCTGCCTTGTGTTAGCCAATCAGGGTGGGAGCCTGTTGCTAGAAGCTGGTTCATTTGTGCTGCTAGGTGTTCATGCAGCGCTTTTAACTTCTTTATCCAGTAGTTGTGGATCACGTCAAGTCCTGGGGCTGACCAACTCTTCATGTGTGCTGCTCTCTGTTGGATATCTTCGATTTTGATGATGACCGGTTCCTGTTCCAGCCTGCAGTGGTCTGCTTTCAGATCTAGTAGCCACTGGGCCTCGGTGTTATGAGATGCTTCTTGCTCCCAGATATTCTTCCAGGATATTCATCCTCAGGTCTGGGTGGGTCTTGCGAGGAGATGTGGTGGTTACCCTGTAGCTGTGCATACACCTTGGATGGATCTGGTAAAGAGGGCATTGATTCTCTTAGCCTCTGTTTCTCTGGTGTATCTGCTCAGTCTGGTTGCCAGTGCTGTCAGTCTATGATTAGCTGTTTCCAGTGCCTCCGGTATTGGCAAATTTTTGAACTTCCACAGCAGCCAGGATCTATCTTTGATCTTAGCACGTCTGTTAAGTTGATCCAGCTTACTAACTTCCTTCCGTGTTGTCTTTATCTTGGCTTCCAGTCGTAGTTTCAATGGTGGGCATGGCTTCTCTTTGAGCCTGATCTCGTAGTCAAGTAGCTGGAGGACCACTGATGCTGTGGCATATATGAACCTGTTCGTTTCTGTGAATGTGCAGGATGGGATTGTGGACAATGCTTCATTAACTGCAGCTAGTATGCTGTCTGGTGGGTGCTTTCCAGTGATCTTCAGTAGTCTTGTCCGCAGGTTAATGACGGCTAGTTTTTGTAGGATTATTTCCCTTAGATCTGTTGTTATGCCATCTTGGGGTATGGATTCTGGTTGACAATTCTCTGCAGGTAAGAATGTGGGTATGGGAATTTCTTCCTCCTCATGGTGTATGGTTGAATTCTTCTGTAGTCTATTTCCAGTTGTGACACTAGAATTCTCTTGAAGATGTTCAAACATTGAGTAACCAGCTGTTTTGGTGTTAGGGTAGATGATGATCTCTTATCCATCCATAACTCCCACATACGTTTCATGTAGCCTCTCTCATTGGGTCTGCTGTTGTAGTAGCATTCAAGCAGGTCTAGGTTCTCTCTCAGTGTCCATGAATGATAGAGAGATAGATATACACATACACACACACATATATATATATATATATACACACAGTGTCAGTATGTCAGTAGCAGGTTGGAGCACTATTCCTAGCATGATGGCGATAATTGGAAGAAGTCAGCCCTTTCAGGTAAAAGTAATTCACCTACACTAGTGATTTAAAAGGTCAGCCTCTGAAGGCATCAGAGAGTCTAACAGCTGGGAGAAAGGAGGCTGTTAAGCCTAAGACTCTAAAGCAAAAGATACTGTTGAAAAGGTACTGTGTAAAAGTCTGTATGTTTACAATGCTGTGTTTAAACTGTGTCAAACTGGGAACTGGATTAGCTGGCCAGCTGGATAGTTAAAAATACTATTGTTTAGTAAGTCATCAACTTGGCATAGGATTTATCTTCTTTTTGTTTTATTTAATTTCTGTAAAGCCTGGCATTGTATGCCCTGTGGAAAATGCATATAAACCGCATTACTATTTTATCCTGACACTTGAATTTGAAGTTCATTATCAAGAGCCTGGCTATTCTGCCACAATACAAATACATACAGTATATATATTTCTTAGCAACTACATGAAATCTGGGGAATGTTCTTACTGTTGCGGGTCCAATGATGGTGACTCCCTTCTCATCAGCTGTCTTTATCAGCCTCCTGGTTAAAGCCTCTGGTATTCCTTCAGCAATGATTGCAATAGTACGTATCTATATAGAAAGGGATGATAACAAGTGATCCATTTATAAAGCGGGAGCAAAAAAACCAAACACCACAACTATTTATGTAGTGCAAACACCATTAATAGTATGATTATCAATCAATGCTATATTATCCTTCCTTGGAATAGAAGCGGTGTCATGATGTAAATTAGAAATAACTATAAAAAAAAAAAAAAAAAAAACAATATATTTGCTTTCACAATGTATAAATGAAACTGTATTTAATATAATCATAGATTGTGAATACAATGAGAGGTGCCATTTTTAAAAAAAACAAAAAAAAAAAAACATAGAAAGCACATATCTTTTATGTACAATTAACAGAAAAGTCACACCTGGGGGAAGTGCATGGTCTCCATGGTGCTGTCGTATGCAGATCTTAATGAGGCAAAGTTGATAAGTACATCTACTTCAGGATGCTTACGCATCGCATCCGCCATGTTTTTGTAGAGTGGTATAAGAATCTCCTTGTGACCCCAGTAAAATTTCTGTTTGTGATCTCCACTATTTAACAGGGAGAGGGAAAAGGGATGTTACATAATTAAGTGCTTTGAGTCTTAAAATGCTGCATATATTCTCTGAAGTGGCTGGATGGAAAATGTATGCATATTATAACTAGTGACTTTGAGCGGTCTATAACTAATACACATTTATATGCACGCACATCCATACAGGCACCCTACAAACACTTTTGAATTCCAACAGGTCCGAAAAGCAACCGAATCAGAGGTTGGATGAACCTCTGTTCACCAGGAAAACATGCCAGTATAACCTGGGAGAGGAGTGACAAGGCAAAAATGCGGGCACTTCATGGTATGAGCACATAGACCCAAGCTCACTTTAATACATTTGAAAAACATACACAGCTTGGAAGCAAAATGACAAAAACAGGCTACTTACGTGAAAGGGTAAACCATGGCAGCCACAGACGGTTCCGACCTTGAACAGACATAATCAAAATCCAACATGCCTTGTACAGCCCGTGTCTGCATGCCCCATACGATCGATTTGGTGTGACGACTGAAAAGAGTGGTGGCCTTTGCTGTAAAAGAGCACATTGTGTCATCTATGTGAGTAATATACATGTACAAAAAGCAAGACAAAAAAAAGTCAGAGCCAAGCAGATCTGTGACATGAAACAAGCAACACAGAAAACAATGACAGCATATTGCACATTCTAGAAAGAGTCTTAACCCTTCACTTGTACCAATCATAACAATTATTTTCAGAAACAAATACTTTAAAAAGGACACTCCAGAGTGGGAAAAAAAAACTTGAGTATCATGCAAAAATATACTTCTTTTTTGGTTCTTTTAGCATTATCCCAGCCACTTATTTTGTCTAATCAGCTATATTCCACTTTCATAAAATATATAAATTTATTTTATTTTTTAAACCTGAAAAATTAAGTACTTGGATACATAGATTGCTCATGCTTTTATAGGAGAGTTGTATCTACATACAACAAACTCTGAATAAAGCTACAAGTAACAAGTTGGAGTCTGCTTCATATGCTGCACTCCAAAGAAAGCAAATAACATATACAGTAACCCACTATGGCAGGAATGTCAAATTCATTACTCTGAAGAGCAAAAGATAATGTGAACATATATATTTCACATAGAGTTATAACAATATAACTTACAGTAATGAGTCATGTAGGAGTTTAAGCCAGAGCTATGCAGCAATAATGCTCAAAAGTTTGACTGTATCAAAAAGTTCTACCGCAATAATGTGCTGTGTTTATAGTAAAGTGAAGTGGAGTTTTGCATATTTATAATGTCATTTTGTATAATATTTAAAACTGGGTGGCCTACCATGGAGTGCCCTTTAAAAAGAAAAGTATGTAACCTCTTTGAAGCTATCAAGAAACATTTTACATTACACCCATAGCCCGTCAAAAAGTCCAATAAACCCTTGGAAAAAGTATGTGTGTGTTTAATATTATTATTATTCATTTTAAGTGGACTCCAGAAAAAAAGATTGCTTGTTAAGATTGGTTTTTAGGTTGTAATTTATTGCTCAAGTTTAAGAAATCGTTACCTACATTCAATTTTACAAACTTAAATCAGAGCTATCAAAGTGCAGACCAAATACCCACAAGTCTTTAAAGCAATCTCATGCTCAAAATAATGAATATTTTAATAGTTTTGTATTTTATTATTTAATTTTGTAGAAATAACAGCCTCCATTGTTCTGTAGCATTCAGTTGAAAACAAAGAGAAGAACCAGAGATGCGGATGGTATGTGCCCCTCAAATGACTGAAGGTTCCACTGAGTTCAACATTTTCAAACTATGCACAGAGAGCCCTCCTCTTTATCATACTAAATATTAGTTTGCTACACTCCTCCAGATCCCCCAAATGTTTTCTCTTCATAACTTCTGCCAGATAAAATGCAATCCTACAAAAGGGTACTGCAAAATGGTGGTTGTCCAAGGGGAAGGGGGTAGATAGTGGAAAGCTTCCTAATATGTATACTAAAATCAAATATACTACACACAAGTAATATGTATTAGCTATACTTTAAAAAGAAGTGAAGGGGGAAAAATTAATCTGACAATCCTGAGTTAGATGCATGACTATCCATGATTCAATATTGTACATTGGTCATAGACTACACTACCCTTTACATTTATATACTATATGTAAATTTCAAATATTAACAATTTTAGGCAATTCTGGACTTGTGGAAGGGCACTCCTATATATCCAGCAAAACACTGAAAACATCTTAAAGACTTCCTTAAAATCATTAATTAGTGAAGTGGAAGATAAAAGTACCCACCATTACCAATCTCCCATCTTTTATTACAACCAACAGGCCAGATTCTCATTAAATCACATGTTGGCAAAAAAAGTAATGGATAATTTTACTTCAGTCGGGACCAGAAACTGTTGGCTCATCTTCAGCCTGTTACTGAAACTGGTAAGAGGCAGTAATAAAAGGACAGATTTTAAATTGAATTACAGTTGGCATGGATGCTAGAATTTTTATTTTTCTGATTATTATGAAAGGGTCAAGTATATAAAAAATTAAATAAATCAGATCACAATAAGGAAATTGAATCAAGGACTCTGCCCATAGGAATGATGCTCTGCTACAGTATTTTAGAGATCCTGGCCTGTAGTTAGTATCTGAAAGTCACAGAAAAGGACATTATTCATGTACAAACAGCATCACAACCTCTCAAACAAAAAAGCCTGCTTAAAATTCTAGTTGTAAAATAAGAAAAAAGGACAGATGTTGGAAGAAGGGGCAGCAAATACACACACACTGGGGTTGTAAGACTACATTGCAGACTGAGACAAAGCACAGCCAACAACTCCCAGATTCTCAGCACCCTGCCTACCTTTAGTTGGTCTGTGTACAGGTGCTGAATCTGTTAAAAGGAGAGAATTAGGGTGTCTATCCCGGTAATGTTTGGTACAGTTGCAGAATGTGGGCCAACAAGGTGAATGGAAGGTCTTGGCATCATAATTACAACTTTGTGTATTAATTATATTGTTTACAGTATCTGTCCATTTAGGATAGGTTTGACTACATACAGAAACATCTTCCTACCACCTACACAGAATTTACACCTCTGCATTAAGAATTTAATGTCCAACCTTGACAGAGGTAATTTGCCAAGAATGATGGACGTGGGTTAGCCCACTGTTTTCAGTCTATCAATGCAGTTCAGGATAAATGCATTTGACAAGCGTAAAGTGGGTGGTTAAAATCTGCATTTTTAATGCAGATGAGGAGGGTGGAGGTGGTCTCCAGGTGCTACAAACAACAAGTTTTTCTATAATCTAATTAATTTGTGATTATCACATACATTTACTTGTAATTGTATTTACATATGCTAGCAGACTTTAGTAGATACGAGCATCTTTGGAAACTCATTTGGTATGGATTTAGGCCAGAGATGAGACACTATGAAATTCTAACAGGGCTTGACAAATATATTGAACCAAGAAGTCTAACATTTTTGTGACCCTAAACCCTGAGCATCGCTTTCAATAGAACTTCCACATACTATTCACTAAAGAGATTTGCCTTATGAATGAGGGGAGTAAGACGTAAATCATAGAAGTATACTTCTATTCTAAATGTGGAAACTTCCTTTCAAATGTACAGGAATCATGTATAAACAGTATTAATTAAAAGAATGTATACATTTAAAGAGAAACTCATAAATTTGGTAAAACCAATGTAAACTTTTGAAGGGAAGTAATAAAGATTATTTAAAAAAAAGAAATGTAGAAAATGTGTTCTTTTTGTACATTTATCAAACCTCTTTTATTTAGTTTGGTCCATATATCATTAAACCATGTTTAGTTAGCATTTTTTTCTATATGGTGATCCCTTCCCTCCCACTGGATTTAAGTGCCAAGTTAAGAAACATCCTTTTATTTATACGGCCTGGTACTTACTAGAGATACTTAAAGGGAGGATTCGCATTTTGATGTATACAAAACGTCAGTCATTCATGCTCTTACCTAAATCCCCATATACTTTGGTTACTGAAAAGGTTTATCAGCACTCGCAGCTTTATGCCATACCTTCATTCCAACACTTACCCAGGTTCTAACTTTTTCCTAAACAAAATTAAACTTAAACCTACTTATGTACATACCCTACTGCCAATAAACTAGTAATCATCTTTACCTACTTGGGAATGTAAATAAGCATACACACACTATATGTTTTGCTGTCACTTGGAGAACTGCATATTCTGTTGTGTAGAGAACCTGCGTCTATTCATAATGCCCGCTACATTAAAGGACTCAAAATGCCTTTTATTTAAGAGTGTGTTCTATTATTTGTCTACCTGACACAATAAAAAGATAGAAAAAAATAATAATCCTACAGAAAAGTTTATTTACCACTAGGTATTGCTGGTTTAGATTTTTTGGCTGGGGTAATATCCTCCTGTTTCGATTCTGAGAAGGATGCAGTACGGCTAGGAGCAGGTGTCTGGAAAAGAAAGAAATTATGTGTTTATTCTGCAAAAAACTTGCTATATGCATTTAAAATAGGTTGCATGTAACTGTTCTTCATGCTGAGGATTTCCCCCCCTTCTTTTTCAGCATATTCTAAACCAACTTTTCAAAACCTCTAACGTTTGCATCAATTGATGACCACAAAAAGACTTACAGAAGAACTGCCGCTGGCATTCAGCAGAAAGTTGGCAGTGTGTGCTGCTGTGGGTGGCTGGTTGGGTATTGGTCGGTGCCCAAGGGCCATGCCCACAATAGCGGTCATATGGGTTTCTGTGCCAAAAACATGAATGGGGATTCCAGTGGTTTTACCTTTAATAGACAAGAGAAGTTGAGATTAACAGTGTATTTTTTACACCAACCCAAGAGCTTATTTGGACCCATCAAAGCCTTGTGTCTACTAGTTTTAATTTTAACACGATATGTAAAATTACTATAGATTTAAAAGAAAAACAGATAGGACAGACATACAAAGTTTGTTAACATTGATAATATAAATCAAAAGTGTAATACACAAGTGGTGTAAATGAAATGCACACACAAAAAAAAATATGTAAAAGTAAGTTAAAGGGACAAAATAGTCACCAGAACAAGTACAGCTTATTGTATTTGCTCTGGTGAGTAGAATCATTCCCTTCAGGCTTTTTGATGTAAATACTGTCTTTTTAGAGAAAATGCAGTGTTTACATTACAGCCAAGTGAGAACTCCACTGGTCACTTCTTAGATGGCTGCTATATGCGCTTCCTTGGGCAGTGCTGCGGAGTAAGCAGCACTGCCATTCAGTGTCTCCACCCTCTGCATGTAGACACTGAACTTTCCTCATAGAGATGCATTGTTTCAATTCATCTGTATGAGGAGATGCTGATTGGCCAGGGCTGTGTTTGACTTGTGCTGGCTCTGCCCCTTATCTGTCTCCTTGAAAGTCTCAGCCATTCCTATGAGGAAGCACTGTGATTGGCTCAGAGCACCACTTCTTATGATGTCAGCAGATATGGGCAGCTCACAGGCAAACAGGGGCAGAGCTTGGAGCTGCAGACTTGAATACAAGTAAGATTTTACTATATTTAGGGAGGCAAGAGGGGACAAGGGGGGCTAGATGGTGGTTTTAACACTATAGGGTCAGGAATACATATTTGTGTTCCTGACCCTATAGTGCTCCTTTAAAAATATAAATATACATTTCTACGATACATTTATTTTGAAATGCAAGTACAGCCTATTTTAGGTGAAAAAATAATTATAAGTTTATGCAATTCACAATTTACCTGTCATGTCAGACTATATCTTTATGAAATACTCAAACACTACTTAGTAATTTCATTGGATTTTCATTCTATAAACCTGTTTTGTACACTTGTCCATACACAAAAGTACAAGAGTGACAAGGGCACCTGCAGAATGAAGCACCAGGAGCAAAGGATAAAAGCTAAAAAGGAAGAGGTTAGCATTCACAAGTGGGTGTTTCAGGTAAGTATATCTCCCTTACGGTTCTCTCCCATCAAGTGGTCCTGTCACCTTGGAAGGTCCTTTGTAAGACATGCAAATACCTCCAAAGAAACAAAACCGCTATAAGACAGACCAAATCCTAAAAAAACACTAGAACACTAATAGTTTGCCACATCTGCATGGCCCGAAGAGGGCACAGAATTGCTGAAGGTAATTTTTCTAGTTAAAGAAAACTGGACAATGCACTCAATGGAAGGACAATTGGAGTTCTCTTACAAATTACTTGTAACTTTCAGCTTTAACTAGGTTTTGGCACGATTTGATTAAGTACTGCAAAAGGCTGACAAATACAAAATAGAAAATCATCATCTGGCATGTGTGCAATATAGATTTGATGGGCTCTATCTGAATATTAAAAAAAAATTAAATTTCTACCATTACAAAGAAATCTGTAAGTTAATGAGTAACATAATGCATTTTACATTGGCCACTTTAAATAACTCTCTAATGGTTTGGTTTCATTAAAAGTCATTATAAAGACAGACCTTCTAAACAGGTTCTATACTTACCCACTTCACCCATTACACGCAGTCCCTCCTGATAGTTTGGTCCTCCTCTCCTTACAAATATAGTCACTTCATGTTCCTTCAGAGGTCCCTGGTTGTCCTTAATAGCCCTCACTATTCCCTAAGATATAAAAAAATAAAAAATAAAAATACGGGTTAACCCTGATTTTAGATGTTGCACTTTATCATTACCAAGTTATGCTTAATGCTTACCTTAAATGTTGCAGCCACATTTGTGAAGTTGGCAATACTACCACCAATGATTAGGATTTTACCTGAAGGAAAACAAAGCATGTAAACAGAAGCACAGACTGGATCATGGCACAACGCAGTAAGGTACACTATCAGGGTGTTCAAGGTGTGAACTGCAAGGAATTCAGAATTAATTTCACATTTTAGTCCAAATTCGTTGAACTGAAAAATCTACTCAGCTATGTTTTAATTCGGTGTGTAGGCCTAAAATTTGAAATCCATTTTGACTTTCTGACAATTCATATTCAGTGAATTACTCTATATATAAGCATGTCTTCTGTTGAGTAAAAAGGTTCACCCCTTAGAATTGTGTTATATATCTTTCAGTTATTGTTTTTTTTTGCCCTCACACTTTAACTTGACTTTGTTTATGCACTGGGAGAGATATTTTATATATAAAATCTCTTCTCCCCCCCCCCTGCCCCCTCACCCCCCATTTTTAATTGTTTGCTGCTAAATTCCTTAGCGATTGCTTTCTCCCCTATTTTGACTCTTTATCAACAACTGTCAACAGTAGGATAGCAAAGTATCAGATCAACTTCCTGGACAACCCAGTTGTAAATGTAAGCATATGATAGCTCACCATCTGGATGCTTTTCTCTGGTCATGAGAGACAGGATAGTCTTTGCGTAGTCATATGTCTGCTGTTCACTGGGAGCCCCTGAGTATTCTCCATAATTGGCCAACTCATCAACTCCACCAAGATCACAAATTGTGTCACTAATAAGAAATACAGACACAGAATTTCAAATAAACCATTCCAAAAAATGACTGCTCAGTCTATAAAACCACAGAAAATTACGGTAATCATTGCGGTAAAGCAATACAATGCAAGCACTAGATTCCGTGTACGGAGTCTGTTAATATATGAAGATTTGAAAGAATTTATGCAAAGGCAGTCAACCATTTCTACATGCACTGTTCAAAAGAGTACTATAAAAAAAACATTATTAATACAAGGGAGGTAAATTATATGCTGATGATCCTCCAGCCAAAACAGCAGATCCATTTGCCAGTATACACCATTCTCTGTACCTGTACACAACAGAGGCTCCTCCTCCTGCCACCATGGTCCATATTCTGCCTCGTGGGTTTAAAATTGTAAGTTTCAAACTGGCTCCACTCTTTGCATCCAGGTCTGCGATATAGGCTTCCTGCAGGCAAAAGAGAAAGAATAATCAGTGTAACATTTACAGTGTCAAGTAAGATTATCTACCACAATAGTTAGAAACATTCCACCCTCAGTCACTGAACTGAAAACTTTATGTCTCAAGTACAGTGATTGCATTCTAGATAGCAGAGATATGCCTCTAGGCACACTGTACAGCTGCTCTGTAGGGAACTATGCATTCTATATGCGGCAGTTAGAGAGATATTTTTATAATGTGGTATCATTTTTGGAAAGCTGGATTATCAAAAGTGCCACCACTTTCCTAACATATACCAATTGTAGCAGACAGAATACTGTATAATGTACAAAATGTTTATTACATATACTATTTGTGCAAAGTGCTATAAATTTACACAATTGCCACTTTTTTAATTTGTAATTTATATATTTTTTTCTTGGCCACAAATGGACTCTAAATTAACTTAATTTACAAAAAAGGTATTACCACAATAAGCAAGCAACAGCAGAATTATACAGAGATGTGTATTTGAAGGTCTTTTTCGTTCTGGATATATTTTTTATTCTGCATATTTTTTATTCTGCATATTTCCAAACCAAAAACTCCCCATATTTGAAATTATTGCAGGAAGTCAAGTGTTGCAGTGAGGAAAGAGTTAAAACACATACAAACAACAGAAATTAAAAAAAAAGGATAAACATCGCAACATCAATAATGCTGTACAGAAAATAGATTTCCTTGATAAATCATATCAAGCTAACAAATTACACAGGGAAGAAGGAAAGATTTTATTTCTGATTTATTTGAAACACAAAATTAACATTGCCAGCTAGAAGCATTTGTATTAATTCTGTTCATAAAGATAAAAGGATATTTTTCAGCATTCCAAGTTCACCTTGAAAAGGACATTGAATGGTGCAGAAATGTCTATGCTGCCAGAGTCATTTATATAAACTAAGAAATTGAATTATGGACGAGCAAGATGCAGTATACAAAGGCATCTGGCATCTGTACAGAACTCATGAGCTCTTAATGTAATGACTGCAGTAGATTAGGTATCTATTAAAAGCAAAATATTTTAAATAAATTAATTCACATTAGGGGAAGGGTTAGGACACGTTACTGCAAACTAACTGCAATAATTTCCATTTAGAAATAAAGGATCATTAGAAATGGATCATAGGTGGTCTGCATAGATTGGTCAAGGTCCATTATATTGCTTTATACAATTGGATTCAATTAGAAAGAGACACATGCCATTTGCAGGCCATATATGTAATGTTGAATAGTTAAGAGTTTCTTTAAAGCTTCACTGTCTTTTGTAGAAGATCTACCATCATCAAAACTTGGAGATTACGAGACAAGCATTATGTAGTTAGAACATTTATTCTACCATGCGCAGTAAAAATGTAAAATATAAAACATAACTCATGTTTGATGCTTCCTCAATGAAAGAGGATTAGTGTCAAATTATATTGGTGTATCTGTCAGACTACAAATGAAGGCATCATTCACTAATACCATTCATCCGGTGTATACATGGTTTTTTTTTTCTGACTTGTTCCTTTTGATACATGATATTTTTATTTATTTATAACAAATTGTCTAAGCAGTGCTTAGTTTGTGCAATACTTATGCAAATTTTGATTACTGCCAGCAACATTTGTATGTGGATGAATGGGTGCAATACACAAAAATAAACTTTCACACTGGTAATATACATTTCATCCATATTTTACAGCCATTCTCTGATTGAACCAATCACAGGACAAACATTTCCAGTGAGCAGGGGACCAGCTGGAGGAGCCAGAGGTAAGCTGCTCAAAAATGGTTTGATCAGAAAACTTTAAAAAGAGCAATGCCAACGTGGTGGTGCCATTTCTCATTTTGGTTAATGCAATATAATGGATAACACCATCTTTTCATGAAAAGTACACAGATGAATGCTTCAATAATTCTGTAGAGCTAGAGATTGAGAGCCATAGTTTAATTCTCCTGGTGCCTTCACCCCTGCCTTCACCTGTCTGGGACCACTCAAGAGGCCAATGATGCCTCAGTCTTTACTCGATGACTCAAGAAGAAATTCTCAATCCACTTCACCAATGTCAGTTTTGTGTAACTTTTCAGATGATGCAATGGCTGAAAAGCACCTGACATATTTAGCCAATGAATAACCTAAAAAGTTGCACATGACATGGCTAATGCAGAATGAGAACTTTTGTCTTCATGATGTGGCTAAAGTAAAATGCAGACATCAGAGGGATCTCATTAGGGGTCAATATGTTCACTAATGGTTTTACCACTTACTGGGTGACTATTCCAGGAGACTCATGGCACCACGACCATTAAAACAGGCTGTAACAAATAAACATACAACCATTCATGATCAATGTGCAACCTTACCTCAGGATAAGCTTCTCTCCCAAAGGGAGGTGGAAATTCCACATCGCCCCATTTGGCTTTGCAAACGTAGTCAGCAGTGGCATCAATCTTGGCTGCCATATCCAAAACGTACACTCCATCCTTTGTCACAACTTAAAAAAACAAAAGAATTGTGAGATGGGTGGAAGATGTGCAAGAGAGATGGAGGAGAAAAATGCACAATCAGTGCTACGCAAATCATTAAATAATAAAAGAGAGAATTGCACACTAAATTATCATAAGCCCTTTTCTAGGATAATCTAAATAGAAAAATCAGAATAAGGGGTTATTTTGCTTCTTCTACAGTCAGTCATTCACTGTATATGCACATTTTGGATTCTAGATATCATCACGCATTTATATACTTTGGAAAGATGCAAAGTAGATGCCACCATGCCGGGAGATTAACATGCAATTCTGATATACTGCTCAGTATTGTCTTTTGAGCTCTCGCACTGTTTAGAATGACCACAAATTGAAACAACCAAATTAGACTTCTGATTGCCTGCTTTTTACATATAAACTCACAGACTAACTGCACATGCTGCCAGCAGGAAAGGCATAAAAATGAAACAAAAAAAGAATGCCTACCTCCATATTTTAATATACATACATACACACACACACACACACACTTTTCCCTACTTTTCTACCTTGTATCATAGTGCATTCTCCCCAACAGTTATGATGACTTATAACAGACTGCCTTGAGAAAGAAAAGACTATCCTCACAGTTACTTAGAAATATAGGTTGACAGAAGATTCAAATCCATCTGATTCAGCCTTGCACACGTTTCTGCTGCTGACACAAGAACAAAAAACAAACAATCTGAAGTCATCTGAAGTAATTTCCAATCATCTCCCATAACATAATTAACTAATTGTTAACTCAACTATGATTCAAGAAGTCTCCATTTGCAATCTCTTAAAAATATTTTAAGTGGATTTGCGATCTGTATATTAAAGGGACGCTATAGTCATCAGAACAACTACAGCTTATAGTAGTGTATTTAGCCTGTCCCTGGAGACCTTTCAGAGAAAAGGGCAGTGTCTACATTAGAGCCTAGGAACACCTTTAGTGGCCACTCCTCAGACAGCAACTAGAGGTGCCTCCTTCCTGGGTCATGGAAACACAGAACTTTCCTCAGAGATGCATATGGGGAGATGCTAATTGGCCAAGGGGTGTTTGGCTCCGCCCTCAACCCGTCTCCTTGGTTGAGATAGTCAGAAATGAAAACCTCAGCAAATCAAAAGCTTTCCAATGGGAAAGCATTGTGATTGGCTGAGATCATCAATTCTGTTGAGGTCAGCCAAGGAGACAGATTGGGGGCGGAACCAGCACGGCACTGGAAAGAAGGTGGGTTTTCTAGTTATTTAAAGGGGGTAAGGAGTCTTACATGTTTTTTTTTTTTGTTTTGTTTTTAACAATATAGGAATACAGGTTTGTGTTCCTGACTCTTTAGTATTCCTTTAATATGGTAATTATATAGTTATAATATAATATAGTAATAACAAAAATCCCCTGCACTCACGCTTTAACCACTTCACTGCCGGGCGCATGTACCAGGGCTCCACATAACAATTCCAAAATAGAAATGACTGCTCTCCGGTAAAATAAGAGATTTATTGAATAAAGTTTAAAATAACGACCAACGTTTCAGTCCCCGTTCGGGACTTTCTTCAGGGTCAAAAAATGGTTCTCTCGTTATTTTTGGACCCTGAAGAAAGTCCCGAACAGGGACTGAAACGTTGGTCATTATTTTAAACTTTATTCAATAAATCTTTTATTTTTAAAGACCGGAGAGCAGCCATTTCTATTTTGGAATATATATATATATATATATATATATATATATATATATATATATATTCGGGTCGAATATAAGCCGAGGCCCCGAATTTTACCACAAAAAAACTGGGAAAATGTATTGACTCGAGTATAAGTCTAGGGTGGGAAACGCAGCAGCTACTGGTATAATTCAAAAATAAAAATAGATACCAATAAAATTACATTAATTGAGGCATCAGTGCCGTACTGGGCAAGAACCATAACAACATTTTCTTATTTATGAAAATCCATCTTCATCTTTCCCATCTCTTATACCTTCTTTAACACTTTTTGGACAGGCATCTTATAGAAATAACAAAAGTAAAACACAAGCTTTACCAAATATCCCTTATGAAGAAATTATTGTTACATTAAACGAAATATAATCACTTCGGAAATGAGACAATATCACCCATTTAGGTGTTCAACTTACCAAAAATACACATTCTTTACTTAAAGCAATCCATTTAAAATTATTATAAAAAATGCATAATACATTTATGTTGTGGTCATTAACCCCTTAAGGACCAAACTTATGGAATAAAAGGGAATCATGACATGTCACACATGTCATGTGTCCTTAAGGGGTTAATGGCAGTGTCTTGGCTGGGTTGTTTAACGGTTTTGAAAATGTTAATGTTACCAGGTATTCTTTATCTGTCTTTATGTCATTTTCCTCACACCCCCCCCCTTTGTTTGTTCTCCTCCCACCCCTTCCCTGTAGCGTGGCCGAGCTCTTCTCTGGTTCCTGTACCGCAGACCGGAGAGGAGCTCGGCCACGCTACAGGGAAGAGGAGGTGACGAGAGAGTCAGTGCTGCAGCCGCCTGAGGCTCTCTATAGAGCACTCAGGCGGCTACAGCATTAGAAGGGCCGACGATGGGGGTGCAGGGCGCCCCCGCGGCTGCCTAGTTCGCCTTATAGAAAGCGCCAGCCCTGCTCACTCAAGTATAAATGTGCTGAAAAAGTCGGCTTATACTTATGTATTCCTACTTACCATAATTTTCTTTTCCTGGTCATAGGCCATGGCAGCACAACAATGGGTAGCTCCACCCTATCCCTAACCAGACAGGAACCTAATTAAAACAGAAGGTATAAGTAACCCCTCCTACCACTTCCACCCTCAGTCTTGTTTCCAGCAATATCCCAGGGCAGGATCTTTGTGCTGCCATGGCCTATGACCAGGAAAAGAAAATTACGGTAAGGAGGAATACATTTTCCTTTTTCCTGGCCATTTCCATGGCAGCACAACAATGGGTAATACCCAAGCAATAACCAAGGGAGGGAAAGAAGTACACAAGACTTCCAAAATATGAATGCAAATTGACAACACACACACACCTCATAAGGACATGAAAAACAGATTGCCCACTAATGGCACATTATCAAATTGACCAACTCAAATGTACCAAAAAAAAAAAAGTCTGAAAACTGATTGAGGATCAAGCAGCCATTTACCTATAAGTTCCAGGGAAGCTTGGCCACCGATGCTCAAGAGGGAGAAATGGCTCTAGAGCAAACATAGCTTAAAGTACTGTAATCCCTAGGACTTAGTAGCCTAAAAAACAGTCAAGACTATCCATCTGTTGATGGCTTATATAGAGGCTTGAAGATCTTTATGGTCTATTAGTAAAGATAAACATAAGAAATCCAGAAAGCGGATCTATAAAAATAGAACTTAAGGCATCTATCTAGGACAGGAGGAGAAAGTTTTATTATGGACTCTACATACTATGCAAAATAGTGCTTGAGGATCTAATATCCTTCAGTCCATGCCAAATGTCAATAGAGCTTAATGTTAAGCAATTGTTGAGAGATATACTATCATGGTTAAAAGGGGTGAAGATTTCAGAGCCAAAAAAAAAAAAAAAACAGGGAAGAATTCCACCGAGAGCAGAGATACCCATAGATACTTCCATATTAAAGCCCTTTCACGAAAAGAGAGATCAGAGAGTGCTGAGACATATCTCTGAGGTAATTCCTAGATAAGTCCTGGATTGAAGAACTTAGAACCTTCTTGGAAGAATGAATTTGAATGAAAACCTAATTAGAAATAGACCAGGAAAAAAAAGGCATTTCAACTCTGTAAAGGTAGCCAAGGACATAAGTTTTCCCATGGCCCTCAGAAGGGTATTAATTACTTTAGTTCAAAAACTTTTATATTTAAGCCCTTATCGAAACCTTCAGAATGAGGAAAGTAGCACTGGACCTGATGGAAGAGGGAAGAACTACCTTGGAGGTACTGAAGAAGATAAGTAGAAGTGGAAACCATAGACTGGGTATTAATATGGAACTGTCAGGATGATTGATTTGGCTCTTGCAACCTATGCAGAAGAGAAATGTTGGATGTTAAGGGAGTCCCTTTCCTGAACATATTTGAATTTGGAGAAAAATTCCTCAACCCCAGTGGATGGTATTCATGGTTATCACTGTCCAAAAGGATTTCCATAGGTAAGTTAACCTCCGCCCTTGTGACATCCTATCAGATCTATGGTGGAGGACCTGGATCAAAACTCTCTCTGTTGGGGTAATATGCTAGTCTGAAAAGAGCTGTACTGTGCCTTGGACCATGTCAAACTGTATTCCCAGCTATACCTTGAACTGGGAGGGAGCAAGGTGATTATAGCAGACATTCATCTTTCCCAATGAAGATGTAAAAATAAAAGTGATGTGAGGCAAAGGATACATGGCAATAAGCATCCTGCAATTCTATAGAACTCATCCAATGTACTAGGAATACTACCTTTATAAATAAGAATGTTCAAGAATCCTGTAAATTAGAATGGATCTCCAACACCTGTTAGAAGCAGATTCTTTGTGTTCTAGTTGCTTTTTAAAAAAATTCTCACAATAGCTTCCTCTAATTGAAGGGAAGCCATGCGATTTACAAAGCATCTCTTTTTACCTTTTCTTTTCTTCTGATAGAATAACGACCACTTACATCAAGGTTGAGATCTACCACACTCTTCCTGGTGTGAAATACCTTGGTCTGAGAAGAAAGTTAATGAGAATCTTTGGATCGAAAGGGTCTCCTGAACCTTAGGTCTTGAAGTAGACAAGCTTTCCTGCCCTCTGCTGTTCACTTGATCCATTAATATAGGAGGATGCATCTGTGGACCAGGAACTAAGCCAAAGAGCCCAGCTAATAGACACAAAGAAAGTCATATTTCTGGATGGAATATGATGCAACCTACATAGACTTCTTAGCTGAAGACTATTCCCGGATTAATGACTTGTAAATTGTCAAGAGACAAAGGAAATTTATCTCTGATATTCTCCTCCAATTTATCCATACAAATCTTAGATCCTTAGAGATTGAGGTAAAACCTTACAGCAGGATGAAAGCCTGTGCCAGCTGCCACATAGGCTTTAGAGAGGAGCAGGACCATGTATACTCCATGGAGTTTCAGAGAGATCCCGCATTGTTTACAGGCAGAGAAGAACATTTAGCAAGTCTAAGGACTGCATCTACTACTTAGGAGCAGAGTCCCAGGTACTAGTGTCTGAAATTCCAATGGATGAAGACTGAGATACTCCCTTGTGTTGAAAACCTCTCTCAGTGTAGAACCATTCCTCCATTAAGGATCTTAAAGGGGACCGGGAAGGTTAATATTGCGTAATACACGGGGCATGAGTAGATGGGCCTGTAGCCACTTTCAGACAGTTTGTGCAGAGACTTTACTTTTACAAGGATCTCTTATGATATGCCTCACAAACAATCATTTAGGGACTTATAATAAAACATAAGTCGAAAGGCTGAGATAGAGGAACAGAACAGCGAATAGCCTATTACCAAGTACAGACACATAGAAATAGGATAATAAATTTAGTGAATACATAAAACCAACATAGAGGCATATAATAATGAAATTAAAAAGCACATAAAATAAGTGAACCCAGCAACTGTATTAAAAGGCACTAGAAACAATTATTGCAAAGTCTTGAACCAGGTAAGAGACATTGAAATATTTTCTGGTTTCTAAGTATATCATAGGGATGTTACTTTTACCCAATTTAATGACATACATTTTATTTACATTAAGGACTGAGTCAGCCCTGCAGGGAATTGAACCGGTGAGCCCCAAGTGACAGATTCTGCTGATGAAGTATTAGCCCACTGAGCTATCTCACTACACTGCAATAAAAGATTTAACAGAGGCCTCAGAATAAGTGAATCCAGCGGTTATAATAAAAAGCCCAACAGAGGCCTAGGAAAAAGCTAACTGCTATATTAAAAGGCATAACAAATGCCTAGGAAAAAGTGACTCCAGTGGCTATATTAAAAGCCATAAGGCCTAGGAATAAGACACAGAAGCCTAGGAAAAAGTGACTCCAGTGGCTATATTAAAAGATACAGAGGCTTAGAAGTAAGACACAGGAGCCTATGAATAAGTGACTCCAGTTAAAAGGCCCAACAGAGGCCTAGGGATAAGTAATCCAGTGGCTATGTTAAAAGACACAAAGGCCTAGGAATAAATTAGGCCTCTGTGTCTTTTTTAAAAGTCCCAGCAGAGGCCTAAGAATAAGTGACTCCACTGGCTATATTAAAAGATACAGAAGCCTAGGAATGTGACTCCAGTGGCTATAATAAAAGGCCAGTGGCCTAGGAATAAATTAATCCAGCTGCTATATGAAAAGGCCCAGCAGAGGCCTAGGAATAAGTAACCCAGTGGATATATTAAAAGACACAGAGGCCTAGGAATAAGACACCGAAGCCTAGGAAAGATTAGCAGGAATCTCTTACCGCTTAGATGAAACCGATGAAGGATAGAAGGGGTTATATCCATATATTTGCTCTGTATGTGCCTGCCCAGCCTGCTACTCCTTGGTCACTGCAGGAAATAGGCTGATGGCATAATCTTGCTACCCCTAGGTTCACAGCAAGTAAATCCATGGGAAAGTACAAGATAGTGAGTTGTACTTTAACCCTTTCAGCGATGGAATGCTAGTCTGTCTCATATTAACTCCTCATATTAATCCTTGCAATCCATGTGCTCTGTATGTGCATGTCCGGCCTGCTACCTCTTGGTCACTGCAGGAGGCAGGATGATGGCATAATCTTGCTACCCCTAGGGTCACCGCTAGTAAATCTATATGCTCTGTATATGCATGCCCAGCCTGCTATCCCTTGGTCACTGCAGGAATCATGGTGATGGCATGATCTTGCTACCCCTAGGGTCACAGCAAGTTAGAACCCCCGGTCACTAAAGGGGTCTCTCTAGGGGGTCACCTTTGCACAGGGCCGTGTACTGGAGACTGCCCAAGGGAGAGAGTCTGAACTCCCTTGAGGGAGAAGGTAACAACCCTCAGGTAAGCAAAAAAGAAAAAATTCTCTAGTCTTAGAATGACTAAGTCTGTCCTAGGGATAAGACAGCAACAGAAAGACTGAGGGTGGGAGGGGTAGGAGGGGTTACTTATACCTTCTGTTTTAATTAGGTTCCTGTCTGGTTAGGGACAGGGAGGAGCTACCCATTGTTGTGCTGCCATGGATATGGCCAGGAAATATATATACACACATAATATATATATATATATATATATATATATATATATATATATATATATATACACATATATACATATATATACACACACATACATACATATATATACATACATATATATATTACACACACACACACACACACACACACACACACACACACTACTGACCATGAATAGATCTAGTTTTTGCAGTGTAAGGTCATTTACATACTTCAAACAGTTGTGACCATCCAAATGCTACAGGGAGTTAACCTAATTACATATGAAAGAACTGGGCACAGGTAAAAAGCAACTTGGATAAGGACAATAGGGGTTGTAAAGTGTTGAGATTTTCTGTTTCTCTAGGGGGGGGAGAGGGTGGGGGGTTGCAAAAATGGTCAGTTTAACCTGATGCTACAAGACTTGTACAACTGGGCTAGAGGTTGTAAGTACTAGGGTATAGGTTGTCCCAAATAGTGATGTCCTGAACGGTTCGCCGCGGACTCATCATTGAGTAAACTTTGACCCTGTACCTCACAGTCAGCAGACACATTCCAGCCACTCAGCAGCAGACCCTCCCTCCCAAACCTTCCCACCTCCTGGACAGTATCCATTTTACATTCATTGTGAAGCTGCATTCTTAGTGAGGTGGGAGGGTCTGCTGCTGATTGGCTGGAATGTGTCTGCTGACTGTGAAGTACAGGGTCAAAGTTTACTCAATGATGAGTCCGCGGCGAACCGTTCGGGACATCACTAGTCCCAAACCATCTTTAAGGTAAAACCTACTAGAAAATGTAGTTCCGCCCCTTTTCATATGACCTACAGTGTAGCCAGCATGGAAGACAAAGTGAACTAAGCCATACATAAATATACCGAATAAAAATCTTAATGTATTCCATTACATTGTGTTCATGGCTGATGACTTAATACAATGTATTTATGCTTATACTTATTACAAAACTGTAACAGTAGCCTGATTTAACAACCAATACATATGTTATTTTCACATTCACTTGTCTGTGTGCTTTGTCCACATTCCCTAAAGACTTAACCTTGTATGGGAGTCATCATTTCTTACAATGGTAAAAAGATATTAACTTGGATCAACAAGCTGTTGTTCCGTATTTTAACTTATATCCATGAATATTCAGAGTTTCAAAATACACATCCAGACCAAGGATGTCATATAAATAAGTCTTACCTAATGGGTTGATCTCGAGGTAAGTAAAGAACAGGTTGTCATATAGGTTAAAAAGACCAGTTATAAAGCTTGCAAGGACCCTGCAGGGAATATAATACATATTTATATCAGGGGTGCCCAACTGCAACATCTCGGGCAACCAGTGATCAATAACATTTGCAGTTCTAAAGTAGCTGGAGTGAACACTCCCCAATTTACCATATAACAAGAGTAATAAAGATGGCAGAGAAACATTTGATTCACTTGAGCGACTGCTTTATACTAAAATAATCAACGATGGGTCAGTTAAGTATCATTGAAGCAAAATATAAAAGAAGCAGAATAGGAAAACTAAATTTCAATTGTTCAGTTTGGTAAAAGGAGATAAATGAAGATATGTAAAACTTAACACACACAACTGACTTCTCTTTATCGGAGTTTAAAACAAAATACCAAATTTCATTTATTTCAATACAAAGAATTTTTTTTTTTTTAGATAAAGTAAGGCTATACATAGCTGCACGACAAGAAAAGCTACACAAATATTAACTGTAATACAGATGGAGTTCTTTCTGCAGGCAAAATAATCCATCAGTTACATAAAGCAAAGAATCATACTATAAAAAGTAATGTGAAGGTAAACTATACAAGATTGCCTTTATTAAACAGAACATATTTTCTACATTTTGTCATGAGTCCCAAGCTCAGACCACATAAGAATTCTGCTCCAGGATATAAAACCTTCATGAACAAAATGCATTTATGGCTTTATTTTGTAGCATGTCCAGTAGGTTTGACAATAGCAACAAAGGTTAAAGGGAAACTGTAGTCACCAAATCAACTTTAGCTTAATGAAGCAGTTTTGCAGTATAGATCATGCCCCTGCAGTCTTCCATGTAGGAGTTAAATCACTTTGTTTATGCATCCCTAGACACAGCCTCCTACATGCCATATACACAGCATTCCTAAACACTTCCTGTATAGATTCAGCTAATGTTTACAATTTCTTTATTGTAAATTCTGTTTAGAATTGATTACATAGTACATAGTTGCTGTATATTTATTACATAGTCACATATCTGAAAAGAGACATGCGTCCATGAAGTTCAGCCTCTCTCATAGCGGTTTTTGCCATTGATCCAAAAGAATGCAAAAAAACCCATTCAAAAGCTTTTCCAATTTTGCAACAAACTAAGAAATAAATCTTTCTTGACCCCAGAATAGCAGTCAGATTTCTCCTTGGATCATGTAGCTATTACCCCACTAATTAAACATAATGTGCCTATATATTATGTTTTTGCAAGTATTTATCCAATTGTGGTTTAAACATCTGTACAGACTCCGAAAAAAACACCTCTTCAGGCAGAAATTTGCACATCCTTATTGTGTGTTAAAAAAATAAATAAAAATAAAATATTTCTTTTGCTTTAGACTAAAACTAATTTCTTCCAGTCTAAATGCGTGACATTGTGTCCCATGTATAGTCCCATTTATGAATAGATTATCAGACAATAGTTTGTATTGACCCCGAATATATATTTGCATATATCCCTTCTAAGGCACCATTTTTCCAAAACTCAATTTTTTATCTCCTGCGCTGTTAATAGCTTGCTAGACTGCTTTTTTCATGCAGAATGTGAGTTACAAAATCAGAAACAAACGTGATTTAACTCCTAAATGCCAGTGAATTGAGCAGTGAAACGTCAGAGGCATGATTTATACACAAAAACTACTTCATTATGCTAAAGTTGTTTTGGTGACTATAGTGCCAATATAGTGTCAAGTTTTCACACTATGCTTTATGAGAAATAAGTTGCCATTGCTTAACAATTTCAGTCAAATGAACATCCAACATTCCTTTGCCAAGCTTTGTCAGGCCCAACAAAGGTGCTCTAGTCTCAAAATATTGCGGTGTCCACTTGTTATATATTTCTTTGACTAAAATAATTCTACAATAAACTTACAGAATACAGGATTTTCAACATTTCATTTTTATTTTTATTTTTTAAACTAATTTTGTTTAATTTGTAGGTCTTAAGGGTAAAAATCCTTATTCACCAACAACTGAGCTGGAACAAATACCAACTATTTTCGATTAGAGATACAAAGGTAAATTGTCACATGGAGAGTAATTTGCTAAATGTAAATTAATGATTTGTGTGAAAATTATAAAACAAAGGATATTATGTATTTACCTTTTGGCTCATGTAGATATATTTTAACTAGTTCAAGAATATAGGATCTGACAACAAATAATGAGCACATTACAAGTATTGCTATAATAGAGACAAATGTAAAAATGTCAAAGCACACCACAATAAAAACATATAGTGGCCAATATTGAACTACCAATTCCACTTACTCTTTTTTGTCTTGGGTTACATGAATGAGTAGGTGGGCCTTTACATCCTCTTCAGTCAAATGCTCCCCCACACCAACCAGCAATTTCTGGGCCTTTGAATCTACATCGCCAACATCTACACCACCCTCATGGTGGAAAAGCACATAGTCTCCTTCTCTGGCTGCATAAATGCAGACGTAAAACTCCTCATCCTGGTGAGACACCAGAAATAAAGCCATTAGCATGCTCAAACTACTAGAACTGAACATAACTGGATTATAAGGAACCGTGTTCAAAGATGTTAACATTTAAGGTTTACATTTAAAAGAACACTTCAAGCACCATAACCACTAGCAAATGGTTGACTTCCTAGCTGCGGCCTCCTCGGTGCCACTCTCTGCCTCTCAGGAGCCGGAAGAAAAAGCTCCTGCTAGGAAATGTCGTGAAGCAAACATACAAAAGTATAGTTATTAATAAGTTATTTTATTATTTTAATGTATTTTTTTTGCCTCGGTGCCCATATTATTGTTTTAATAATAATTATGTATAACAGTGTTCCATCTACATCACACTTTCAAAAGAGCTTGTAAATGTGTAGCAAATATTGATGAATATTTGAATGTCAGGTCCCCTTTTAGATTCAAACCTCACCTGCTTGTGGGCGACAAATGGTTCAATCAAGAAGTTCTTCAAAATTCCTCTTGCTTTTGCAATCTGATAAAGTAATACAAATATGAAGCATTACTTAAGGAAGATCACTCAGAACCTTTAGAAAAAGTTGTCCGATCTATACTTTCAGGAAATTCCCTTCTTAAATTTGACCTCAAAACATCCTGGCTGGTGGACCTGCCACAGATTCTTCAATATCCCCTTAACCTGACCTGCATTCTATAAAGTAGTGTTTTTAGTCAGTTGATTTCTAAATGACAGAAATTACCTTCTGTCTTGGAACTAAACCTCAAACTCAGAAAGGAGAAGGAGGTCAAGCCCATTTTCAACAAAACCTCATGTTTTGTGAATTCTGAATTGTGATTGATGCTTTAACGTAAACAGAATACAGTGATAAAAATGTACCTATTTGTTTTTTTCCAAATGGCTGCCTTGGTTTGAAATTTCAATCACATCACTGTGTTTTTTCCCAAGCTGAAATGTTTTTTTCCATGTCTTTCTGACCTGCATTTGACAGCAGGAAGCCAATCAATCTGTTTGGAGAGTTATCCCCCTCTATGAATTCATACTGGGAATACATCCTGCTAATTGTGCATCTTGTCAGCGCAACCTTAGACATAAATCTGAAGATCTGAACAAGGTCATTTATCAACAAGACTTTCACAGCCAACATCAAAGATTTAACCATATCCTCCAAAGTGCACGGCACAAACGCCTAGGAACTTACAGTTTGTAAAAATAAAAAAAGGGCTAGGCAGTGCTTCACACATTAGATTTTTTTAATTTTTTTTTAATTTAGTGGCTTTAATTAAGGCTTAGCAATGTACCCTAACACACTCCAAACGTGGGTAACATCTTATTTGGAGTACAAAGTTGTTATAATGGGATGAATATATTCTCACACTCAAGTAAATTTTTATTATATTTGAATATTTAAAAATATGCAATACAAGCACAGATAGTATCTCATGGTAATAGGCACCAAATAATTGACAAGTTGAAAAGCACATTCATACATTGTTGTGTCCTTTTATTAAGCAGATACTTTAAAATCTAGGCTCAAGTCAGATTTCCAAGAAACCATATATAAAACTACAGAGATCTAACAAACCCTATTCGAGTTACCAGGCCATCAACATTTAATTGAAAAATTACCAATACTGTGCAGATTTCTCCTTTCTGACATAGATATTCAGTCACACTGAAACTGCAAATTCAATTCTAAAACAGTCATTATGAGGATTAGTTTTAAAGGGTTATTTAAGATACTATAACCGATTCAGTGATTTGAAATGGTCATGGTGGCTGGAGTCTGTATATGCAGGGTTTCAATAAGAAATGCTGCACATATGAAGCTCAACCCATCTTCTGCCAGGTGTAACTCCACCTTCGGCATTGTCATTTTTAGTCATTAGTAAGCCCAGAACAGTTACTGGCATCCAATATCAATTCTGTGCAAAAATTGGCAACCAACGCCAGCATCCCTCTGCCCACTGAGTGCACGCGCCTGTCCTTTCCAAGCTTCTGATGTAAGCTCCCCTCTGTGCCCCTGCTTGAATGACCCCGGTCCTCCCCTCAGTCTGCAGTCTGTCTACTCCCTCTCTTCTCCCTTGACTCTTTGCTTTTTTTGGCCTTGAGGTGTGGGGCAAAACACCATAACCATGATTATGTTAACACTCTACATAATACACTGTTTTGTTAAACTAAATTGTTAGAACCAATACATATGCACTCTATAGCAGATGTGCTCCAGTACCAAAATAATTTTACTTACAGTACATAAGTACTCACCATTGTCTCATGCCCCAGTCTTGGCTTTAGCCAGCTTTTCACCTGATCCAAGTTAAGGTTAACTCCAACAAGACCCAGTTTCCCACGGCGTTTGATCAACTGGTCAGGTTTCACCACAAGCGACTGTAAGAGGTAAATATAGTGTAAGACTCTGTACAAGTCATAAAATGTATGCAAAATGCAAATTGTAAGTAACAATACGAGAAGAGAAAATGTTAGGATTATTCACTAAACTGATTTTTTTTGTAATTCATTGTGCATTTTTTAAATTTAGCTATATTAGCTTTGAAATTTACTGGGATATAGCTCCTGTCAGTTTACAGAGAAGTTAAATTGCGCACTTGGCAATCCCTATTATGCAGGGGTCTGAGGTGCTTAAGTAGAACAGTCTCTTCTTAGTTAGGGAGAGGTCGAGATGCAGTTACTGACAGCCCCACTAAACAAGGGAACTTTAGAAAAGGTAGAAAACCATTGATAGTTTTTATTTATTCTATTTTGTAAGTATATCTATAGGGTATTGTTTTCCCCATATTTTACATTTAGTTACATTTGTTGTGAATTCTAACTTCTGGTCTTGACTCCTAGATTTCAGGGACATTTGTGAAGCCCTCATCTAAGATAGCCACATTAAAACGCTGCAAATACAGACTGACAAAGACCCCTTGTAGGAGGGAAATGTTGCTCTGTACTTTGTTCCAATAAGTTTACCTTGCTGAGCTTTGGAGTGCCTGGTAACTTCTAAAATGGCTGAAATCAGCAATTACAAACTGCCAAAAGTGATATAGTCTCGTACAGAGATTAAAAGTAAATGCTAAAGTACATAAATACCACTTGGTTCCATACTAGACAGTAAAATTACCCCCCATATGGCTAAAAACGAAATCTACTTCACATAAAAGAAAACTTGGTGACTGCACATTCTCAATATAACCAATAAGAGATAGATAGATAGATATATATATATTTTCATATTCTATATTTAAGTACGTTTCAGTATTAAAACCTATAAAGCATGGAGTATGCAGTTTTCAATTAATATGAAATTTAGCAAAATCGGGAATATGCAAACACCAAGGCCAACTTGCTCAGATCACAAGTAAAATGTGCATGCACTGAAAAAAACCTTCATAACCATAGCAACTCTACCATGACACAGGGGTTAGAGAAAAAACAATGCACCTTTTTCACCCCATATATTCAAATAGAAAATCACTAAAGTAGGGATCGGTAACATTGGAGACCGATATGAGTGTGCAGAGGTTAAACGCCAAATTAAATATGTCAGTATTTTTTAGCTGACTTGTGTTTAACAATGCACTGTGCATTTACATGATGGCATATTTTTTTTTTCGCACGGGATACTTTACATTACTGTATTAAAACATTTTTATATCTAGCATAATAGAGCATTGTACGGAGAACTGAAGCAAGCCATATTTTCAAACATTGGGGCTGCAAGGCTAACTCAGACTTTCATCTTTTCAAGATTAATGAAATGGGTGTAATTAAGAGTGAGGATGGCAACATCAGCTTTGAATTCAGTTAGGTGAATGAAGATGTGCTTAAAGTTGTTTTTTTTATTCTTGGGGAATTTTTCCAGTATAGAAGAAATTAGTGATTATATATTTTGAAATAATATTCCATTTCACTTGGTAATAATAATAACACAAGTATTTAACCAGGAAAGGTACATTCAGATTACTCTGGTTTTCAAGTACGTCCTGGGGATGTTACCTTAGCCCAGCATCCAGGGGTTGTTACGATTACCCAATTTAATGGTACTCATTTTATCTACCTCGGAAGGAGGAAGGGCTGAGTCAACCCTGCCGGGTTGAACAGATTCTGCTGATGATGCATTAACCCACTGAGCCATCTGGTGTATGCTTATCCTGACAATTACACAAACATATTCTAGGTCAATATTCAAAATACTTGCCATTCACCTGTATTACTGTATAAAGGTTTAACCGGAGTAAAACAAAAAACACATATTTTACACTAAAGCTTTTTTCAAGGTTAGTATGCAACCTTATATTCTTATTAACATAACCAAGCTCACAGTGTGCAGACTAAAGGGTTCTACAACAAAACATTAACTTGATTAACACACATATCTTTAAATATTTTTCATGATTTGGATGCAGGTCATGTTGCAAATGGATTCTGTGCTGATGCAGTAACATTTAATCAATATTCCGCTCTGTAGCGAGACAAGACAATGTTGCAAGAGGCAAATTTATTCTGTTGAGCGACCTTTACTTCAAACACATGCCAAAAACGGATGTAGAAAAAATGATTGTGGAGATTATGGAGGAGTTCTGGGCTGCTCCTAAACAAAAGACCAGACAGTTTTAGCTTCCTGCATTAAAGACTCAATTGAGATAGTTCTCAATTTCATCTAAAAGAGAACCAGTTGGTTAGGAAAGATCTACACATGTGAAAAGAAACTTTTTTCCCCACACACACAGAGCAGGCTCATTGTTTAATATGAACATAAAACAACTATATATGTTTGAGTTGCATACAGGCAATCACTCCTAGCTCTTTTACCTCTGTTAAAAGCCAAGGGTGCTCTTGCGTTAGTCGGTCCCAGTCTGTGTCGTAGGTCACACAAGCATACTTAAAGCGGTTCTGCACAGCTGCTGTTGTACAGATGTACTTATAAAGGAACTCTTTTCCAGTCTGCTCTGAGATTGCTTTGGCTGACATGGTGACGAAGTTGAAGGGCAGCTACCTATTTTGACAAACAGGAGAAAAACATGAAGGTTAATATACAGCAGATGTTTTTTCTACTCTGATGGGGTCAGGAAGTACCTCAGCACTGGTTTAATTTATGAAGAGAAAAAAAAAAAAAAAATACAATTAAAGAAAAAAGGTTTAGCATTGATACATGGTTCTTCTTAGCTGGAAAAAGCAAAGAACATGAGCAAAGAACATGTGTAATGTTAAAGGGTTACTCAAAAAAAAAAAAAAAATAGAAAAATGAATAAAGGAATAACTGATCTGCCAAACTGATCTGTTTTTGCGGCAGCCTGATCCTCCTTCAATGCCAGGATGGGGGGAAGGGGGTTCATTGCGGCCATGGTCGTCTATCACCAGTATGTTGTTTGTGCTGAAGAAAGACATCCAATCTGAAACCATCTGATTGGCACAGTGTGGTGTTTTGACGCTCATGCACACTAACCTCTCAGCCTATGGGAAAGCATTGGATTGGCGGAGATCATCTACACTGATGATCTCAGCCAAAGAGACATAGTTTCACCATAGAGACTGATGCAGCAAGTAAAACTCACCCTTCTGATCCTTACATCACAGGAAGAGAGGGTGGGGGGCACTAGTAGTGTTAGATTTAAAATAAATAAATAAATAAATAGTGTTAGAAATACAAGTTTACATTGTATTCTTTTGTAATTCTTTATTTATAAGTTCAAAGATGCAGCATTGCATACAGGGTGTATAAATCGTTAAGGTGTACAGTAAGGTTTACAATTTGTACATTGGGATAAAATCAGGGGCGGGCTGGCCGCTGCAGGGCCAATCCTAATGCTGCAGCCGCCTGAGCGCTCTGTAAAGAGCCTCAGGTGGCTGTAGTGCTGCTTCTCTCCTCTCCTCCCCTTACCAGTAGCGTGGACGAGCGCCTCTCCGGTCCGTGGTGCCCAGCCGGGTACAGGAAACAGATACTCCTGTACCGCGCGGACTGTTTCCTGTACCCGGGCGGACTGACCAGAAGTGCACACTGAATGTGCACCTTCCTATCACTCCGGCCGGGCACCGCGGACCAGAGAGGAGCTCGGCCACGCTACAGGGAAGGGGAGTAAGAAGATAAATAAGAGGGGAAGTGTGACGGAACGCTGCCACTCCGACCGAGTACCTCCGCCAATCGATGCTCCTATTGCTCGCTGAGGACTCCAACCGACACCATCAGCACTGCAGACCCCACTTCCAGCGATGCAGCTGCGCCGGTGTCTCGCCGTCTCCACCCACCCTGGACCTAAGGTCAGGATCCAGCTTCCAGTGGGGGAACCTCGCTTTCCCCACAGAGCGTAACAGGAACAGAACAGCTCTTACAAGAGCTCAGTGATTATAGCAAGAGAGTAGGACGAGCATAGCAATCCCTTGTAGCCGATTCCCCCCAATAAGAGACAGGACTTAGATTGAGGGTGAAGAAGAACACAAGTTTTAATCAAACACTGCTTTTATGCCCATTTTACAAACATAGTACCGCCCACAGGGTTTTGTAAAACAACCAATCAAATATGTACATTACAATAAAACACTCCCAGCAATTACACACAAACACTCCCCTCTGCCTGTGATATAATTACTGAACACAATTGGTTAAAGTAATTATCACTGGTAGGAAAAAATACACTTTTTACACATACACTGTAACCTTAAAAATATACATTCAATCTTCATAAAAGTTACATGTTAATACGCAGCACACTTTAATAACACATATCCAAAATTCAGCCAATTCCTTCCAGTAGATAAAAAGTTAGCTGGAAGTCCTTTATGACCGACCTCAAGCACATTTTCATGCCCAAAACAGTTCCATAGATTTGGGCTGTGCGGTCGGTCAATTTCACACTGAAAAAATTACTCGCCGAACAAGACTTGGTCTCTGCAAACTCAGTGTAGGAGAAGGTAAGGGTCAGTGGTGTTCATGGAACGGTGTAGCCGATTTCAGTTACATGAATTTGGCTACACACCGATGACCGCGTTCGGCTGAAAAATGATGGCCGCCGCCACGTGTTCGTTTGCATGAACGGCGGCCCCCCAGCAGTCGGCAATTTACGTACAGCAGGCTCCCAGCCTGGGCGGTAAATTGGCCGCACGCTTCCACTTCTGGGTGGTCCGCCTGTGTGGTACTTGGTTCAGTAAGCCCCATTTATTAAACCAAGTGGGAAAAGGGCACAAACAAAGTATTTTAGGGGGCAGGGGACACAGTCTTGAAGGGGCATTGTTCCCAAAAGTCACAGTATGTCCCCAGATGGTTCTTAAAGGGCTAGCAGCAGCACAATAAAAATCCATTATGCCCAAATACTGTATTTAAAGGGCCAAAGCTCCCAGGGACCATAATCACATGGCAAAAGTCCTCTCCAGGCACAAGTGGCTATGTTAATTTCGTCACAGGGAAGAAGAAGAAGTAGTGGGGCGGGAAGAAGAGGGCAGAAAGAAGAGGGGAGTAAAAAGAAAAAGGGGGGAGAAAGAAGAAGAAGAAGGGGGGGAGAGAAGAAGAGAAGAGGAAGAAGAGGGAGGAAGAAGAAGAAGAGGGGAGGAAGAAGAAGAAGAGGGAGAAGAGAAGAGGGGGAGAAGAAGAAGAGGGGAGAAGAAGGGAAGAAGAGGGGGAAGAAGAAGGGGGAAGGGAGGGGAGAAGAAGAAGGGGAGAAGAAGGAAGGGGGAGAAGAAGAAGAAGTTGGGAGGAAGAAGAAGAAGGGGAGAAGAAAGAAGAAGGGGGAGGAAGAAGAAGAAGGAAGAAGAAGAAGGGGAAGTAAGAAGAAGAAGGGGGGAGAAGAAGAACAAGAAGAGGGAGGTAAGGAAGAAGAGGAAGAAGAAGAAGGTAAGGAAGAAGTGGGGGGAAGATGAAGAAGGGGGGAGGAAGATGAAGAAGGGGAGGAAGATGAAGAAGGGGAGGAAGATGAAAGAAGGGGAGGAAGATGGAAGATGAAGAAGAAGGGGAGGAAGAAGAAGAAGGGAGGGAAGAAGAAGAAGGGGAGGAAGAAGAAGCAGGGGGGAGGGAAGAAGAAGAAGGGAGGAAGAAGAAGAAGGGGAGGAAGAAGAAGAAGGGGGAGGAAGAAGAAGAAGAGGGGGGAGGAAGAAGAAGAAGGGGGCATGGGAAGAAGAAGGGGAAAGAAACAAGTGGAAGAAGAACGGGGAAGTGGAAGAACTGGGAAGTGTAAGAAGAACGGGGGGAAGTAAGAAGAACACAAGGAAGAGGGGGGAGAGTAAAGATGAGGAGAAGGGGGGGACTGAGAAGAACACAGGGAGGGTGGGTGGTGAGGAGAACACAGGGAGGGAGGAGGGGGGTAAGAAGAACACGGGGGGGTGAGGAGAAGGGGAGATGAAGAGAACACAGGGAGGGGGGAGGTGAGGAGAACACAGTTTAGCAATGATCTGTTTTCTCCTCCTCTTTATTTCCTCAGTCTCCCTCTCTCCTTACACCCACTTCACTCAACCCCCATCCACATTTACATATGCCCTTCTCTCATCTCATGCCTTACACTCATTTTTCTACTCTCTCACTCCAACCCACAATCGATCTCATCATAAACCCCATGCATCCAAAACCCATTCACACCTCCTGACACTTTCTCTCCTCCTACTTCTAGCAGCTGGTGATGTCTCTCCCCATCCAGGGCCCTTCACCTTCTCTACACACACACTAAGACAACCTCAGAAACCCACAATACCCTGCCCTTTACCCTCACTTACCAAAATTAATTGTGCACTCATGAATGCCCGCTCCATCTGCAGTAATTTAAAATCAACAACCATACACGACTTTTTCATCTCAAACTCACTCACACTGCTTGCACTTACAGAGACCTGGCTGTCCCCCTCTGATAACGCTACTCCTGCCTTTTTATGTTTTGGTGGGCTACAATTCTCTCACACTCCCAAACTCAACTGTAAAGGAGGCGGCGTAGGCATCCTTCTCTCCCCTCAATGTACCTTTCAACCAATCATAACTCCCCCTGCCCTATCCTTTTCTTCTTTTGAAGTTCACACTGTCTGCCTATTTAAACCCACTCCTTTAAGAATTGCTATCATCTACCGCCCCCCGGTTATCCTAGACTATTCATTGAGCACTTTTCTTCCTGGCTTCCCCACTTCCTCTCATCTAGCACTCCTTCCCTTATACTTGGGGATTTCAATATTGCAATCAATAACCCCAATTGCACTGATGCCTCTCGTCTGCTCTCTGTAACCTCCTCCTTTGGCCTTACGCAATGGTCCAATTTAACAATCCATACAGCAGGAAACACTCTTGATCTTGCCTTCACCAACCTCTGTACTGCCTCTAATCTCTCCATTATTCCTTTTCCTCTATCTGAACACCATCTGCTGATTTTTGACATTGGCATACCTAAGACAAAATTGACACCACCGTCTGAACATCACTCTCACAGAAACCTCCAATTTCTTGACCTAGAGCATTTCTCCACTAATCTCCAAACCTCACCTGTCCTAGTTCTGCAACCTCCTTCTACAATTCCATCCTCTCCTCTCAACTAGACATCATGGCACCTTGTACATTTAAACGCCGCAGGCCCCCCAACAACAACCCTGGCACACCAAGCTCACTCGATACCTCCAAAAATGCTCCAGAACTGCTGAACGCTGTTGGAGAAAGTCTCACTGTGCATCTGACTTTCTCCACTATAAATTTATGCTGAGCTCATACAGCTTGGCTCTTTCCTCTGCAAAAGTTAATTACTTCAATACCCTCATAACCACACTCTTCCGCATGAACCCAAACGACTATTTCACACATTTAACTCTCTTCTTCGCCCTGCTGTTCCTCCTCCACCTACTAACTTGACCGCCTCAGACTTTGCAACTCACTTCACTGACAAGATCTCTACAATCAGAGAAGAGATCTCTCATCTTTCTTCTTCCCCTTACAATACTTCCCATAACTTCGCTCCCTCTGCTGTTCTATGTTCATTCGCACCCGCTACATTGGAAGAGGTTTCTGCTCTGCT